GATCTTGTCTACCGTTATTTCCGGGTACCTTAAATATCATATGTTACCAAGTGACGATTTCTCGATGGCCTTTGAAATGTGGTGTTGCTAAATTATAACGATGAAAAGGAACAATATGGAATCAATAAAACATCAGTACCGTACACAAAATTTTATATTGCAATAAACGACCACAGAAAATTGTTAGTTTTATGTAGACAAACCATCGTGTTTCTAAAGATTTTTATAATACAAATGATGGTTTAAAATACGTGCTAATGGAAATACACGAAGTACGATCATTTTACAATAAAATAATTTGTAATGAAATTGTTTAATAAATACGTGCCTTATGAATAACACTAATGCAGAACATTCTATTAACTTAAGCCAACATGGAACAGGTGGAGGTGCTAGTGTTAGCAGATAGAACTAGTGTTTTTTGACATCAGGTACAGCTAGTGTTTTTTGAAACCATGTAGAGCTAGTGTTATTTGATAACAGGTAGAGCTAGTGTTTTTTGACATCAGGTAGAGCTAGTGTTTTTTGACATCAGGTACAGCTAGTGTTTTTTGAAACCATGTAGAGCTAGTGTTATTTGATAACAGGTAGAGCTAGTGTTTTTTGACATCAGGTAGAGTTAGTGTTATTTGGTATCAGGTAGAGCTAGTGTTATTTGATAACAGGTAGAGCTAGTGTTATTTGACATCAGGTAGAGCTAGTGTTATTTGGTATCAGGTAGAGCTAGTGTTATTTGATAACAGGTAGAGCTAGTGTTTTTTGGTATCAGGTAGAGCTAGTGTTTTTTGACATCAGGTAGAGCTAGTGTTTTTTGACATCAGGTAGAGTTAGTGTTATTTGGTATCAGGTAGAGCTAGTGTTATTTGATAACAGGTAGAGCTAGTGTTATTTGACATCAGGTAGAGCTAGTGTTTTTTGACATCAGGTAGAGCTAGTGTTTTTTGACATCAGGTAGAGCTAGTGTTTTTTGACATCGGGTAGAGCTAGTGTTTTTTGACATCAGGTAGAGCTAGTGTTATTTGATATCTGGATATACTGTTATCAGGCTGACCTGCACTCATTGATGAAAAATAAGGGATACTTTAAGGGCTAAATACATACGTCGGCTGTGTGTAGAATATACCAAGACAAATCAACGAGTATTCAAATTTAATCAGACATATTACAAATTACAAGACAGGCTTTATTTAGTTATTCATTTGATTGTCTGTAGATAGTGATGGTGGAACGGGAATCATGTTGGTCTAGAGGAACTAAAACAGTGTTGTTACAAGGGCCCTTATCTCTGGTTTAGTTGACAAGAGCTTTCCTCATGCAATTCAGATGTATTTGGATATACACCCCAGGACAGCTAACCTTTCTAGAGATTTTCAAAAAGAAGACACCCATCAATCTTTTCTAGAAATCTCCACAGAAGCTGACCTCTAGTTCGCTACGGAATTGGTTTACCTCTTGTACTCCTCCCGGCTTCTCTATGAGAGCTCATTTGTGTATAATTATGTGTCTTATAAAATAAAATTTAGCAGGGTCTTTTCAAAGATTTTTGGAAATATGGCTCTCAAAATTATCGTTTTTTGCAAGTCCAAACTTTTCAAAATATGCTGCCATAACGTTCCTGAAACACAGCTTTAAGATTTAACAACCTGTGCTGAAAGTTCACTGTCTTAGATCACTTCCTGCAATGTTCATTGTCTAAAAAATCATGGTCATATGTTCACCCTGGATCTCACATGATTTCAGCCAATATTTTGGGTCCAATCATGAGGTTTCCACCAATCTGAAAATTCTAAAACTCGGATTCTTTGTTCATCAAAACTTTCTTTAGGAGGATTTTTCCACAGTCTATGACTAGCATCAATCATTCCTCCAACAATTTCCTGTAAACAAACGATTTCCATAATCAACAGCAGTAACTCATGGGTGGTTTTACAAGTTTGCACAAGCAAAACAATTCCAGTAACCAAAAAAATGAAAAAATCAAGAGCAGTAATTGTACAGCAATCCACTCCTCAATCAAATAGTACGACCAGGTGTTTCGAAAAGAGTAAGCATTAAGCTGTTATTCAAGTATTCTTTCAGATTTTCGCTCAAATAAATGTTGATGATATTCAATAACCCAAAATCCTTTGAAATTAGGGGTAATAACTCAGGTTGTATATACACCTTTCCAGCTGGTATACAAGTTACCTTTCAGCCTTTATAATCAAGAGCAATATTTAAGTAGTATATGTTATATATCATATAGTTTATCATTCCAGCCGATGGAAATGGAGGCTATCTATTTGTTAACTTACCCGTCCAAAATAAGTAGGGAACCTGTGTTCATCTTCGATCACATGAGCAAAACCCCCTTGAAGTCCAAAATCAACAGCAAAGTATGGAAAACCTTTGGGTACCTAAAACATCATACAAAAATTAAAATATTCCATCAAGCAGCTGAAAGCATGTCTCAACCTCCACATCACTCTTAAAACAAAATGAAAATTCTAGAGACTGTTTTTGGTAAAGGGAAGATGAAAGACTTTATGTGGGTTCTCTAGAAATTGTTTACTTACTGAATGTCTAATATCCTTTTTACTCAAATCTACCAGCTTTTTATTTTGTGCCCATTCTGTCTCAGTATCTTGAATAGCTTTCTGAAAATAAATACCCAAAACTGGATAAAATGCGATTGGGCAGAGGGAGAGTCCATTAGGTACACTCTGCATGCTGCACCCAGGATGTCAGGGATGTAGTAGAACAATTATGGCTGAAATCTTGTAATGAGTTGAGAAGAGTGCAGCTGTCTTCAGGGTTTTTGTAAGGGTTAATTTAAAGGTTTGGAACATTTCTTTATTGTATTAAACAAAAGATATATGGATGACGGTTTCTCACTAATTACATGTCTTGAGATGTCCTTTAATTTATGATCTCACATTGGTCAGAAATTAAACAACAGTATGCTTATATTACAAACATTGTTCGCATAGTAGGAACTAGGTTCATGTTAAATTGGGTTTTCTAATTCTTGAATACTATGCATTTGAAAGAACCCACAATAGAGATGGGAAAAGTGTGTGCTAATGTTGCTGTTCTGGTAGAATTCCCTCATTGTATAGAGCAAATCTTGGTTGATGTATGGAAGGCTTTTTAGGTTACTTTACTAAATAATTTAGTATATAACAATATTTAGACAAAAGATAAAATCAACTAAACAAATGGTAAAGATCATTACTAAATAATTTAGAACCATCAATAAAAATTACTAAATAGACAATATCAGTGAAAACCAATAAGTTAGTAACCTAGAAAAACAGTCAAATATTCTACTCAAGCACCGTCTGGTCCTTGACAACCTGACATCATCAATTTCACCTCCCAAACTAGAGAGCTAATTTAAGTATACTCTCTAACCAAAAGACAAATACATGAAAATTACTATGACAACAAATCAATACTTCAAATTAAATAAGACTAGACAGATTTTCTTCGAACAATCGAGTGGCAGATACAAACCTCAAGTGTTGAATTAAAATTCTAAAGAAAAACTAGACATGAGAGGAATCTTGCTTATAAACAGATTTCAATGACACTTTTAGTCTGTATTTTTTTCAAACAAACTGATAAGAATACACTTACTGATAGAATTCAATTGGAAATTACTTATTTTTATTTTTCTTCAGCTAGATTCGAAAAGGCTGTTATTCCTTGCAACAACTTTTCTCAGCAAATTCAGACACAAAATTTTATTAATTTAGAAGTTAAAATAAAATTGAAATCTAGATGAAATTTGCCTCTGTAATGAACTTAGGCAAGATTTAGAAAAAGATTTTGAAAAATCAATTATGTCTAGCAACAAAATAAGATGATAAGATCTATATGAAATTAGTCTCCGAAAAAAACTGAAGGCAAGTTTTTCGAGAAATCTGTTATGACATAAAAGTGAAAATTAAATGGATATCTAGTTGATTCATTCTCTGTTTTTTCTGTGGACTGGGACACACTTAATTCAAGATGACAATATTTTAATTTCTGATGAAACTTTATACTTTTCTGTGATAAAAACCTGCACCAAGCTGTCTAGACGTTAAAAATCCTCAGGAAGTAAGCCAGACATAAAAGTTTTTATTAGTTCAAGAGAGATCCAGGCTAACTCTGTTGACCAGGATGTAGCCATTTAAATATTTGTTTTACCAGTTCATAGAGATATTTGTAAGCAAACAGACATTTGCACTAAGATGTCCTGAGGTCTTAACTTTTGACATAGTTTTCAGGATATCCTAGCACAAAGATCTTTTCGAGTATTTGTGACAAGAAATTCATATTTTAATTCTGTAGAATGTTGCGGGAAGCTGATATTTTATACCAAATTTTAGATGACTTTATACCTTGAATTGATAAGAATATCCCACATGAATTTTACTTCTACTTCCATATTTGTGTGATTTTGAGCAACACGGGTCTGGCTTTAGGCAGGGTATGCTTATTTTAGTAGTGCTTTATAGTCTGGCATAAAATGATTGCATGCAAAACCTAAGAAAAGATTACGAAATAGAAAGGATTTATAGGGGAGTGGGGGTCTAGGGTATCTTGGGGGAGGGGAAACCTTGAAGGATGTAACAATGAGCTACAGATTAACAGATAATCCTTACCTTGAAATATATAGGAGCTAAATCACCAACTTCCCTTTCCAGAGGTACACACTCAATATAAGTATGGGGGTGTCTCTTTAAATACATGCTTGTCTCCATAAATACTGTATCTTCATCATCCTTTTCTCTGAACAGTTTGGCTAACGTCTTACGGAAGAGCTGAATAGAAAAAGTTTTGGAATCATTTGACCACTAAAATTGCGATGAAGTCAATAATAAATATTCTAGACACCTGATACCACTTTTCATTATGAAATACTTACTCTCTTATGATTGATATACCTCCTCTTGTGAAAAGTTCATTAGATGCTACAATGGTTATTTTGAAGTTTGAGTTTTTGGATTTGATAATGAGAATTCAAGTCAGAAAGTGGTGAAGTTATGGTCTTATCGAATAATGATAACAATCAGCAATGAACCACATACCTGCATCTCCTGCCACACATCTTCATCTATTGCTGTACAGGAAGTGGAGTGAATCATGGGAACAATCAGACAATGTCCTACTGTTAATGGTTTATGGTGAGGAAGACATAGATAGGACTAAAAACAGAAAATAACCATGGGACTTGCTCTCAAAAACTTTATTTGGGTAACATTAAGATGTTAAGAAATACAGTAATTTGATTGGATAATAAGCAATTTTAGTGAGTGACCAATCAGATGACTGGACCATTAATATCATCATTTTTTGAGAATAAGGCCCTTGACTAAAAGTGAAAGTTGTTACAAACGGGGCTGTCTGCAGCGAATAAATTGAAAATCTGTGAAAATGGTCACTTTGGAGCACCAAAACAACAAAAGAATTCTGAAAGTTTCTGCTGTGGCATTTTTTTGGGGAGGCATTTGATCTGCTTTTGCACAACATTCTAACGTTTATAAGAACTCCACAAATCAATGCCTTCAACTGCAAAAGTCACAAAGAATTCTGAGGAAACGTAAGGGAAAGTAATCCAGCTCATTACAAAAATTCAGACCACATTGATATAACATAATAATTATTATACTGATATTACCTTTTGACCAATGGCTATAATCAGATGTTTTGGTACTTTATCAAAACAGAATTGACATTTACTCATTGCTGATGCCATCTTCTGATGCTCTGGAGAATGAAATCAAATGATTAAAATTGAATTGAATGTTTTATGTTCTACTTTTCTGCAACTTATTGGGCTAATGAAGATGGACGACGCCATGCAGTGTGCAATGAGAGAAATTTTACCAAGAAAGCAGCATTTGCCTGAAATTTTGAAATGTTAATGTTAATTTAGAATACAGAGTTGAAGAGTTGGAAAGCAGTTTTCACAATAAATGGAACGCTAAGATGAAAGGAACTTACCCATGATGGCTCGTGATCGATCTTTCTCTTCCAACTTGGATTCTGATTGTTGCCGAGCTGCTTTACTTATAAACATATCATCTACTTGATAATCATCATCAGTCTTTTCTACACTCTATAATTCAAAACAAAAGACTATGTTATCATTTGCCAATCACTGGTTTTGCAATGATGAGGCATTGGAAAGAAACTACACCATACATTAAAATCAGTAGAATATATAGCTTTTATGGCCAAAAATATACAGAACCACAACAGAAAGGAAAATATAAAACATACCCTTCCAGCTAGTCTAGCAAACATAGCATTCTGATCTTCTGCTGTTCCCATTTTTTCTCTCTCTACCATTGTCTTCAGGTCTAGTTTATCATCATCATCAAAATAACGCTGTCTATCTCCGTCTTCATGAGTAGCAATCTATCGAAAGAAAACATTGAAACTAACTGCTGTACAAATTTCTATTAGGTATCTATATATCTGTAATGTCATGATGTTTGGCAAAAGAGAGGTCAACTGTGTCATTTTACCAACAGTTTTACTTTTTCACTAATTATATTTACTCTGCCCGACACCTCTTCATCATGATATACTTACTCACTTGAAAAATGTCCGGTTGACAAAAAAAAAATCAAAAGCCCTGGAATGCACATTACCTTCTTTTGTCTCTTTCGTCCTTTCTTGGGTTCTTTACGATGTTTGGGTTCAGAAAGTGGTATAACAATACCAGATTTGGTTGTTCTTGTCAACAAAACTTCATCATCAGCATCAGCATCAGCAGATTTGGGAGGTGGTGGTGGGGCATTCTTTCTGGCTTCTCTGGCTGCTTCTAACTTAGCTTTCAACTCATTGGCTTGAGCCTGAAAGGGTATTTCAATAAAGATGTCATTTCATTTCAATGTATTTGAATAAGCAGCAATTCAGGTTTTGCAACACTTGTTTGTTCCTTAAATTTGGAAGACCACTGAACACTTATTCCTGATGTAAACAACATTGACTTTTAAACTGCCCTTTTCCGCTTTGACTCCTCAAAATTTGAATCCTTATGAACACAAGTCTAAGGCACCTGAAGTCTGTATTTTGAGTATGGGATTGACCAAGCCTTTTCCCCTAATAAGCTTACCTCATTGCCCATGATTTCAGCTTTGAGTATTTTAGCAGCCAGAGCGTTCATTTCACCTTCAGTCAGTACAGGAGGTGGTGGGACAGGAGGATCTTCTTCCGACTTTGACTCAGCACTAGATTCACTGCTTGAACTCGAGTCTTCTGAAGTAAAAATGGAAAATGGTGGACTTAGCTTTGTCGGAGAAACAGTTGCTTTGTAGCCTTAAATACTCTAAAAGAGTAACCATGCCCTGCATGACCTTGTACAACTGTGTAGCTAAAATCAAACAAAACATTGTGGAAGGAAGGTCAAATGCTTCTCCATTGACAACAAAAATGACTCAGAAATCACCTACCACTAGAAGAACTTTTGCTTCTCTTTCTACTTTCACTTTTCTCAGGTGATTTCTGACTGGGTGATGAAGATGGTCTAGGCTTGCTCTTCAAGTCTTCAGCTTCTGGTTTTACTTCTTCTGCAGTTTTCTTCTTCCATCTTGGAGTGTTGCTTTCTTTACTCCGATCATCTCTCCTGGAACGTTCATGCCTATAGTCAGTTGATCTGGATCTATGTGACCTTGATCTTTCAGGTGAAGGTCGTTTGAATCTCCTCTCAGATGATCGTGACCTTGACCTTCTAGATCTTGGATCTTCAGGAGAAGGTCGTCTAAATTTCCTTCTCTCAGATGATCGTGACCTTGACCTTCTAGATCGTGAATCATCAGGTGAAGGTCGCTTAAACCTTCTTTTCTCAGTAGATCTTGACCTTGACCTTCTGGATTTTGAACCTTCTGGTGATGGTCGTTTGAGCTTTCTCCTTTCAGATGGTGACCTTGACCTTTTGGATTTTGAATCTTCAGGTGACGGTCGTCTGAATCTTGGACGATCAGGTGATCTTTTTGCTCTTCTCTCATCTTCTGGTGATAGTCGTTTGAACTTTCTCTTATCAGACGGTGACCTTGACCTCTGTCCACTTCTGTCATCATTTCTGGAAGATGGTCGCTGAAATTGTGACCGTCTGTCATCTCTCTCGGGTTTGCGATATGATGATGAGGTTTTGCCTGCTGCTTTTTCAGCATCAGCGATCTTTTTCTCTATAATTTTTAATGACTGAAAAATTTAAAGCAAAAATTTGATTGCCAGAAACAACGAACAGGATTATACACCTCAAATATTGATATAGAGCAGTGAAAAATTAAACAAACTATTTACAAGTAGTATCTTGAAAAATAAAGAAACAACCCAAAAAAGACTCAAAGAATAAAGACACTTACACCCCATCTTTCAGCAGCCAGCTCTTCAAAACTCTTTCCTTCTGTTCTAGCCTGTTCCTTGCATCTTAAATAAGACTGTTTTAACCATGTTAGACCACCGTCCCCTATTTCTGACAGGGATTTCTTCTTCCCTTCTTTGTTTTCACTGGGTAAACCCACTCCCCCATCTTTCCAATATGGATTCAATTCTCTTGCATGTTGACCCATCTGTAAAAATATAGGTAATTATTTGTTTGAAATACAAGCCTCAAAAACATTGGCTGTAGTGATTTTTCAATAGTTGAAATATTGACCTTGAAACTTGACAAATAGCCTCAGCCTAATATTCACTCAAAAAAGACCATTAATTGAATTAAACCCCAAGCGTTTAACTTGCTCAAAGCAAATGAAGATGCAGATATTTGACATAAATATATAATTGCTCAGCAAGTGAAATGGAAGAAGATTCACCTGTTCAATAACACTTTCTTTCTTTTCTTCTTTGTCTTCTTCAACTTTCTTTCTGTCTCTAATTTCTTGCCTGGAAGTCAGTGGCAGGAAGTCTAATGGTGCTTCCATCCAACTTTCTCTCTAGAATAATGCATAACATACATCAGCATTTTTCAGTTCTTTATATTTTTAGTGTAAAGAGAGGTTCAAAAAGTCAAACAGCATTTTCTAACTTTTTTAAAATAAAATATTTTATTGTAAAGCTCATCTGGGTACTAATGTGAAAGATGTGCAACAGGTCAGCTTATAGAAATACATCTTAATTATCATAATACTGGGTTGTCAAGTTATTCTTTATGCTAATTAACATAATACTGGGTTGTCAAGTTATTCATTATGCTAATTAACATAATACTGGGTTGTCAAGTTATTCATTATGCTAATTAACATAATACTGGGTTGTCAAGTTATTCATTATGCTAATTAACATAATACTGGGTTGTCAAGTTATTCATTATGCTAATTATCATAATACTGGGTTGTCAAGTTATTCATTATGCTAATTATCATAATACTGGGTTGTCAAGTTATTCATTATGCTAATTAACATAATACTGGGTTGTCAAGTTATTCATTATGCTAATTATCATAATACTGGGTTGTCAAGTTATTCATTATGCTAATTAACATAATACTGGGTTGTCAAGTTATTCATTATGCTAATTAACATAATACTGGGTTGTCAAGTTATTCATTATGCTAATTATCATAATACTGGGTTGTCAAGTTATTCATTATGCTAATTAACATAATACTGGGTTGTCAAGTTATTCATTATGCTAATTATCATAATACTGGGTTGTCAAGTTATTCATTATGCTAATTAACATAATACTGGGTTGTCAAGTTATTCATTATGCTAATTAACATAATACTGGGTTGTCAAGTTATTCATTATGCTAATTAACATACCTGAGGCATGGTAGGACCTTGAACAACAGGTGCTTTCTCATCCTGGGAATTAAAATCTTTAGTATCAGCACCAGCTTCAACCCATTCCTCTTCAGAACCACAAGAAGAATCCTTCGCTTTTTTCTTTTTTTTCTTCTTCTTTTTCTCTTTCTTTAATTTCTTCTTTTTACTACTAATTTCCTGAATGCAGACAATTTTTTAGATTTGAAATTTTAATATTTTTTATCAACCTTAAAGCACTTGCCAAGGTCATCCAATAAAAACTAACTTTTAAAAGATCACGTGAAACGTTCAATTGCTACCAATGTTTGCCAATATGTTGATTTGGATTTCAAGTTGGTTTTGAGATTCTGATTGCTAATAGGCTATTTTGTTTATTCAAGCCTACCTGAGTTTCTTTCGTAATTCTGGAATCAACTGATGGTAACATCCATTTATCTTCACCTCGTAGTCTGGCTTCCTCTTTCTTTTTCTCTTCTATATCATACTGTTTCTTTGCCTATGACATTGTAAATATTTCTAACTGAGGGTAAGCTACTGGTAAGAAAGCCTGAGTTTTGAGTGTTTATTGATCACGGCTGAAAGGTCCTCTTAAACAAAACTATTTATAGGTGAATACATTCAGTAGGGCCTACAGTTTGTATTGAGTATTAGAAATTCTTTGTTTTTCCTTGTGGCTTGTGTAAATTTTATCTTACATTAGGTGAGATACATCTCAGAGTTTTTCTGCAAAAACAAACATCCAATTCTTACTGATTCATACTGATCTCCAGCCTCGGGGTATGGTAGTCTTACTTGATTTGACAATTTGTGGCTATTCTACTAAATGACACATAAACAAAAGATATCGTGGGTCTTCTTGCGGTAGTTTAATTCACATTCGTATTTGAAAAATAAAGGTTAGATCTACTTACTTTATCTAGTACATTTTGTCTGGCATCTCTCAGATCTTGACGCCTTTCTTCCAGCAAATTGGAACTTTCAAACCTGATTCCGCTTGTCATTTTAGTAACGATTACAAAATCTGCTAAGAAATTTCATAGTAAAAATGTAAACAAAATATCGTGAATCAAATGAAAGTAGAATTTCCGTTTCCGGAATAGCACGCGAGACAAATTGACCATGAGACATATCGCCATTTTCTATTTTCCACTCACCAAATCGACCGAGTTATTGATTATGGCTTAGATATCTATAACAAAGGTTCCAAAACCCCACCCAATTTCAAAGGGATGTAGAGTATAAGCTAAACAATTAGTATTTGTTGGACAAAATCATGACCTTCGCTGACCTTTTAAATGTGAACTTTTAAAACTCATCGGTTAAAGGGATGATGGTTTGGGAAATTCAATAGCCCTTTGGTACAAATAGTGCCTAGCCTACGATGCCAAAAGAGCTAAATTGGAAGTGTCATGGCGCATTAGCTGTAGAAAAGTTGGAAGATAGTCAATTTCATTTGCTGTAGACACATGTAAAAATTCTAGTTCATGAAATTTGCACCGAATCAACATATCAGGCCTATAATAATATCACTTTCTTACCAAGTAGATGAAGATAACGCAAAACGCCTACTCAAACTTTTATACACGTACATGTAGTAAGCCAACAACAAACTGAGTACAATATTTCAGGCTATGTGAACACTGTGTTATTGTTCTGTAGATCAAAATTTATAGGTCTTCAATGGGAGAGTGAAAAATTGTCAGTTTACATGCTCGTCATAAAGTGAAGAAAAAGCCTACTCTGAGGGTCAAAATGGTTTTCTAAATCTTGAGCCCATCTTCCATCACGTCCGTGGAACGATAACTTGGGCCAGCTTAACGTATTTTTTTCAAGGATTGTATGCGATTTTCGAACAATTCCATTACATTTTCAAGAATATTTACATATATTCAAGACCCAAATCAGTCCCTGAAAATGACCAACCTGTCACTGAATTAGGATTGAATTTGATCTTCTTTCCACATAATTATGCACGTAATTGTTGAAGAATGAGAAATAAGAATGTTGGTGAGATATTTTGAAATATTTAAACAAGATGGTATGACGCAATGTATAGAATTTAACCAAATATAAGCACTCTAAATTCAACGGCTTTTTGAATTTATTTTTCACAAAAATTTTCATTTTTCTCATGTTTTTGGTAAAATGTTTACTAAATAAATATTGAGAATAGAATTTAATATTTGAGCCTTTTTTAAAACACCGAAATTCGATTGAAAAATTGACTATCCTAATTGACTATCCTAATTTCCTCTGTCAACATTAAACAATAACAAAGAATATGGGAAACCCGTTTTTTTCTTGAGAGGAACCGCCCTTATCAAATACAGCTACGATTGGGAAATAATAAAATTAGATATAAGTAAAAGGTAAAGACAGTGCAGTATCAGTAACGAGTAATTCCAGTTATAATATATCAAAATGAAGTGTGGATTAGCTGTTTTACTTTTTTCTTGTGAGTATTTCCAACTACATATTTTATACATTGGCCTGATAAATTTATCATCATTATCAATTTTATTATCATTATCATTATCAACTACCACCATTCATGATCATTATCCAGTCTCCTAATTATCATTATTGACATCATCATCATCATCATCATCATCATCATCAAAACTTAAATGATTTTGAATTGTCTGTTTTATTGTAAGTAACAATCCTCGGAATAAGAATTGGAATGATTAAACTTTGAAAACTCTATCCAAAGGCCCAAAATAACATTTTTGTGGAAAAATGCAATGAATAAACCAAGTACTAACAATCCAAACCCCAAAACGAAACCCGAAATCCAAGACAACATACTGGCGAAACATTGGTAGCAATTAATGAGGAAGTCATTATCATTCTATCGGCCTTTTAAAAAAATGGCGATGGTCCCTCCCAATCCAAAGCTCTGTCTTAGTTGTGTTTACTATTTATTTTTATAGTAGGTTTAATATACCTGATTCCAACAAGTAGAGCATTATGTACCCGATCTGTTCTCTTTAACTGTAATATGAAACTAAATCAGGCTAAAGCAAGAGGTATTTCTTCACATTCTCATGCTTGTAGGTAAGTGTCCTTTGTCGATAAAATAGTTTGCTAAAGCAAAAAAAATCGGCATTAGCCTAATCCTTGTGTATTTGCAGTTGATTAAAGGGAAACGAGTTTGAATAGTTGAATAGCCTTCAGACGTACTAAAACTGCACGAAAATCGTCTTATCCCTTCAAATATACTTAAAATAGGAATTAACTCTATTACTAAATAGTTTTATTCCTTATATGGCAGAGTCTCATGAAAAATCGATTGTGGGCAAACATGGATTTGAAGGCACAAATTTCGGCGGTGTGATAAAGTTAGCTTGTTTACATGACCATCATTTCTATTTTACCTAAACCGCGGTTAGTCAGATATAAATTAGTTTAATACGGGTTAATAAGACCATGCCATAACCCGTATTCGGGAAACAATGCCTTAGTCCTTACTAGTACTACACAAGGTGAAAGTGATACTTTAAAATTCAGTGTACACCTGATTCATAAAGAAAATTACAGGTACAACTGAGTTTTCAGGTGATCAATAACAACTCTTCCCTTTTCATATTGATATATTACTCTGTACTTTCAGAATACTAGACAGTTATATGGACTGTATCAAATCATGTGTTAACGACCAACTGCGCAAAATTGCTTACGATAGGTTTGCAAGATATGGTGTCCATTGCGGTAAGTAGTAAAATAATGAATTCAATAAAACTGTAATGTATTACCTTTCAACCACCATAACCAGTAGCCTGGCACATGTCGTCGTTTCTTTGAATAAGGTGTGGCTGAAGTCAGCCAATAAGATCGTGCGTTGCATGGACATCTCTAACAATTTTATGAATCATTGTTAATAAGGTTTTATTTTTTCTCACATTTTTTTCTTTATCATTTTTATTTTCGTGAGGAATGAGTAAATATCAATCAACTCTCGAAAATAACCCCATAGAATATAGATGAAGTTTATAGTGGGTATAAACAAACACCTATACATTATCTGATGGCTTTGCTGAGAAGGTCAACCATTAACCAAGGGAGGAACGAGGGGGGAGGGGGGGGGGCGTTGTCATAACCCAGAAAAATGTGATTAGACCATCCAAACAATCCCGAGCTCTGATGGGTTCATCTTAGTTGTTAAGACAACCCTAAGGTTTTCGGTACCCTTGATATATTAGTGTTGGTGGTTTAGACGAATTCTTGTTTTCTGTATTTCAGGATCATCTATGGTAACTATGAGTGGAGCCCTGGGAATTCTTACAGTTTTGACGGCAATAAAGAATTACTTTTAACATCCTTTGAATTTCTTAATTTCACTCAGACCAAATAATTAAAATCGCGAAATTTGCAGCCCAATTCATTAGTTTTATAGACAGCCAGGCATATTTGGATATTTGGATACAGCATGTTGGATTCAGGGATTTAATTAAAAGAAAAAATTTTTTCCATTAATTTGTCTCTTTATATAGCAACATATATACACCAAGTCCGGACAACCAACGCATCATAGCTGTGTTATGGAGATGTTTTTTCAGAGTCTGACAAGGAGAAGCTACATTATATGACCATACATGTAACAAAGCATGCATATTGAACACATGCTAAACTAAATATAGAGATGATGAAATACATCAAAGTAACAAAATGTTACAATGTTTTGACAACCGGAAGAACTTAACAATATTATCCAGTAGTATCTTTAATGTATACAATAATAAAATCTAATGTAAAAGGGCAATGTGTCATGTTCACTTCAATACATAATACAGTTTCTACTTATTTCAACGTAAGCCTATATACTTTGGTGGTAATATTCTAAGAAACGTAGAATGTGGACAATTATGTTTCTCTTCTCAAAGACCAAATGAGTCAAATAATTGACGCCACTTTTCCTTGTGAAACGCTGTGGGTTTTTGTAATATTTTTCTTATCAAAATATAACTTTTGTGATCAGTTACCTCCCTTGAACATGAACTGTAAATATTTCATTCAAACATTTTCACCAGTTACCTCCCTTGAACTTTTTTTGATTCAACCTCTGTCTAGATTGGTTATTGAAAGAAGTTCAGTATAACTTGACTGTCTCACAACAAAATGTACTCACTCCTTCTCTGCTACAACAAGTTGCAAATGGTGATTGTCGACACCAATGTCTCATTGATCCAATAATCAGCAATAGGAGCTTCTGCAGAGCTTATACTCAACAAGGAGCAATGCAAACAGCTAGCCAGTACCCTTAACCAACACACCCCACCCACCATTTTTAGCGGTTGGTTAACAGTTGGACAACGGACGTGGGTACTTAATTGACAGAAGAGACACAAAAATCCCAAAATACACTTTTATTTATCAAATCATATAAAATATATAAAAATCAAGACACATATTAGTAATAATACACATCTTTTAAAATATGACAGCATGGTAGCACGAGATTTGAAAACCTTGTTGTATTAACACTATAAAGGACGAAAAAAGATATAATTTTCAAAGTTTTCGGAAAAAGAAGTAAATTTTAAAACCATGAAATTAATTTAGCAAATAAAAACAGAATATTGTGATTTAGTAGAATTTCAGGAGTGAAAAAGAATCGATTCGAGAACGGAAGGAAAACTAAAATCAGTACTTGGTGTCGCTAGAGGCAGAGTATGCTTACCCTTCCAGACACCTGTTAAAACTCTCCTGTTGAAGTCATTTTCAAGACATTAACAAATATGAAGATGTTGATAAAGCGAGCATATAGATATTGAAACGTCACAATTGTTATCGTGTACATCATCCGTAAAGCTATAAGATATAAACTGTCAAAGGTGAAAAAAGTTTGCATCGTTTGCAATGGTCACAACCACAAACAGCAAGAAATAAACCACATCCTTAATAGTAGTATTGGTTCTTCTTGTAGGATGGTTGCTTGTATCCATTGTAGTTGTTGTTGTAGTATGGTTTGTAGCTGTTGTCGTAGCTGTTGTAAGAAGGATAACCGTAATCGTAACCTTTGTTGTTGTATCGTTTGTTGTAAGAAGGACCGTTGTATCCTTTGTTGTAGGAAGGACCGTTGTATCCTTTGTTGTAGGAAGGACCGTTGTATCCTTTGTTGTAGGAAGGACCGTTGTATCCTTTGTTGTAAGAAGGACCATTGTATCCTTTGTTGTAAGAAGGACCGTTGTATCCTTTGTTGTAAGAAGGACCGTTGTTGTATCCGTTGTAATCACCATAGTAAGGACCAGCGACAACTCCGACTCGGGCGGCCCCAACTAAACCATGGCCGAGGACTCCACCAACAACTTTTCCAGCGCCAACGAGACCGTGTCCGAAACCGTGTCCAGCTCCGACCAAACCATGTCCTAAACCGTGTCCAGCTCCGATCAAACCATGTCCGACGATTCCAACTTTACCAACACCAGCGAGTCCGTGTCCAATACCATGACCAAGAACACCACCAACGGCTTTACCAGCTCCGATAAGACCATGACCATAACCGTGTCCGGCTCCATGACCGATACCGTTTCCAATAATTCCGACTTTACCAGCTCCGATGAGACCGTTTCCGTAACCGTAACCATGACCGGCATCGGAGTGTGCGATTCCGTGTCCAAGATGATCTCCGACGATTCCTTGGTTAAGACCGTGTTTAAGACCATTATCATAGATTCCATGACCGAAACCATTTCCAGCAAGTCCATGACCAAGTCCATGACCGATACTATGACCACCAATCACTCCAACTTTACCATGACCGAAACCATCATTGTGGTATTGGGCAGCAGCCAATGTAACGAAAAGGGCGACGACAGCGAAAACCTGAAAATGAAAAAATGAAGGAAAACATTGAATATTTGACAATAATCCAAATTGTAGCAAGGGCGATAAATTATGGACATTCTAGAACGAAACACATTTGAATTTTGGAGGTTCACGAAGGTTGATCGAGCGCATTGTGAGCCGATGAACTCAATTCACCGTACAACCATTGCGATTAAACAGATAGATTCAAAGGGGCGATATCAGTTGCGAGCAGAAATTGCTTTTGGAAGCGCCAATTATTACTCTGAATGCAATCGACACCAAATCAAATTTGCTGGGTTGCTAGAGGATACCATGAGGCTATCCTCGAAAGCAATGTTTCTTATATCAGAAGATTCGAACCCATAGCACCCCATTGCCTATCAGGCGACAATATAACTCGCCAGCTATATGTGTGGTAATGATACATACGATAGGTCTATTCGAAGAAGAAGAGTCGCTTCGTACTATTTGTTACAAACAATAGAGTCAACAACAAAGGCAACATTGTGGTATACGAGGAGTCGATACGAACCAGAAGAGTAGCTTCGTACCATTTGTGACGAAGTAGTTGCATAAACTGAGTATCTTAATCTTACTAACCTGCATGCTGATGAACTGAGGACGAATCTTTCTTAAGATGTTGATTGCTTGGTAAGACGAGATCGATTGATGATTAACCCTATCAAGTCCAGGGATATATATACCCCGAAAGGGTTAACTATAAAATTTTATGAGATTTTAAATAGCGTCTACAATCACCCCGCTACTATGGCGTTTAATGAGTAACTGTGGCTCGTTTAACTTTAATTATAAAGAAAGTTTTCATAACTTGCTTTGTGTTGTGGGGAAGGGGCCATTAAAACGTCATAAAAGTGTTTCACTGAATACCTCGTCACTGCAGGGAGTGCTTACTTTAATGCAGAAATTAATAAAGCAATAAAATGATTTATTAAAATTATTGTGCAGTAATATTTCATAGTTTCTTACTAGCTAACCCCTTGAAATTTCAAACTTTAAATGTATTAGGCATCTATTTTTTTATTTCTGGGAACCCAAGGGAATATAACACACTTTGTTTTATAACAAACCACATAACACAATTTACATGGCATAAGTCATTTTTTTTTCTTCATTTTTTCATTATTTTGCGTTGCTTTAAAGACGAAGGAATTAATCATTTGGGGAGTTTTTAAAAAAGAATGAGATTTGATTGTTTGTAAGTATGAAATATAGATTAACGTTGTTTTTTTTCTGTTCCTGAAACGCATGTGCCTGGTGGTGTTTATTTCTCTTTGAGCTAGTTATATTGTATCTTTTGTGGTGCTGGATTTTTTGTTCTTACAAATAGTGAGAGTGAGATAGTGGTGACTTAATAATCCATTTTCCCTACCACGAATTGGAGTCCGAGGGGCTAACAATAAGCGTCAAGTCTCTTGGATGGGACAATAAACTGAGGCCCAATTTGCTAGAAACTGTGCACTTAAAAAAAAACCTTTGACAGTTGACCGTCTTCATTAGCCCAATTAGGTGCAATTTCGCACCGATGTTAAAATGAAAAAATAGGTTGCTTGTAGCATTTTCTTAATTGAACCAGAGATGAAAAGGGCGGTATTGGAAGTGCATGTCAGACACCGGCATATTTTATAGTTGAGAATATCATTGCTATGCCAAAAGTTTTGAAAATATGAAAAAAAACACTAAATTACTTCACGCAGTAGGTAATTATTTAAAGTATATACACAAACATTTAATACAAAATAACCATGATATAATGCGCCACGCTTAATGAATATTAAATTAAGTATGTACATAAATTTACATATCATTAATATAAATTATACAATATATACATTAAAATGTTATAAATTTAAACAATACTTCTTAGCAGTTCAATATCAAACACACGTAACAATGCAAAATATAACAAATAATCGTAGAAATAATGTTGGGTTTCGACAAGGAATCGTCCGTCCCCATTTTTTCATGGAACATTTAAAAAAAATGTAGTATCGTCGAAAACATCATCAAGTAAGTCTCAGCACAATTTCAACGAAAAAATCAGCCGCCAAGTTACACCGCGTAAAGTATTTGGATGTAAAGATGTTTTAATAATTAATAGAAATCAAAGTAACGTTCAGGTTTTGAAAATCAATACACAAGTCTCCCAGAAAATCAAAATAAGAAATAGTTAGTTTCAAAACACCGAAAAACATTCATTGGAATTTTCAAAATTAGGACCAACACTATAGACGAAAGCATCTTCCTTAATCGTTATGTTGGAATAAATAGTTTACAAAAAGAAATTAGGAAACGGCAGGAGGGAAGTTGTCGTTGCCACCATACTGTGATGTATGGACACTTTGGTTTCGACTTAAACCACCGGACCCACTCTGACGTTCTTTGGTCGAGCGAGCTGATTTAGAACCTTTAGACTGTGAGGGGGTAGAATGAGGTCTCTCTGGAACTTGATGTTCTTCCCAATACTCGGCACACTGCTGTAAATATTCCAATCCCTCGTTTGTTTTGTTAGATAGGTATTCTTCACTTGGACGGCAAGAATCTAGAATATAGAATTGGATTGGCTTTTATCATCTGGAGTTGAATTTTTACAAGAGCTCATGTCTTACCGCTCACACGTTTTTCAGACACACAACCTCTACGCAGGACAGCTTGCTTTGGAAATGGGATTGGAATGACGAAATTTCATCTTCAGGCACATGAGGACGTGGCTACTAAACTATAAATATTGTATCCAAGTAATTGTCGGCTTCGTATTATCTCGAAATCCACTACTAATACTAAATTTCGATTTTTGTGAAAGCTTGGATTCTTCGGACATTGATCCGCTCAGGTAGTTAAAGAGGCCCATTTTAAACGGGAATTTTCTGCAACAGCAAATTCATAAGCAGATTTTACCCGAACAGAATTGTATCCTATCAACTTACCTTTAGTGTAGTCAAAATATTTTTTATCCGGATATAATTCTTCAAGTAACTTCTTATATTTATCTTCACTTAAATTCTTCCTTTTCAGTTCACCCTGAGACCCTGCGCTTTTACTTTGACGAAACGACCCAAGACGTTTGGGACCTTTACGGTTCAATCTCTGAATATAATGTAAGTTATTTCTATCAGAGAGTGACATGGGCTCGTTTGGATTCACACCTTCTCCGTAATTTTCATATCTTCTAATTTTCATATTCGGTGTTACTGTCATGCTTGTTTCACTGCCACTTTTAGTTCGTTCCTGCAAAATCGAAAATAAGACTTTCAGTTTGTTCCACAAGCACACTATGACGAGAAATGTACATTCATATTTTACAAGGGAAACAACTCAAGTTCTTCCAGTTAGTCATTGAGCAAACCCCTTTGCAATCACTTTACATAATGAAAAATTCACAATGTTCAACTTGAATGATTTTAAGCAACTTGTTTTAGATATGTACACTTACGACTGACGAGGTATACTGACGACTAACAAAGTATGCTGGCGAAAACGAGGTATACTGACGACTAACGAGGTATACTGACGACTAACGAGGTATTCTTACGACTAGATAGTTAAACTTTGGACAAGCGATAAGCTCAGTAGAAAATACAGCAACTAAAACATCCAGGAAATCAGTTTCTGATTCTAGAGCCTACATACCTTATGCTTCTCTGGTTTTCGGGGAGTTAACGGTGGTAATCTGGTCGATAATGGACCACTTGGTAGAGCCGATTGTGGACTCTCGGGTTCATTGGACACAAAACCCTCTGTATACTGTTTACTCACATCTTCTTCCAGGTCCTCCATGATGACTCCAGGTCCACGTGGAGAATAGTGTACCCCCTGGAATATAAATGTGCAATGAAGGTGCTGGTGTGAATTTCGCAGTAGACGTGTTATTTAAAGTCAAAGTGTGATCACTGATTAGTTACATAAATCTAAGAGGACGCCAGAGAAGTTTAATTAAGTGCTCATAATCATTAGGGATTATTGGTGCATCGGAGCAATTGGGTATAACTGACAAAAATGTCAAAATTTACCTTCATTGGTAGTCGTTTCTTGAATCCTTGGTGTTCCGAATCATTCAAGACGGTGCCCGCTAAAATACTAGAAACGTCATCGTCAGAAGGTTTTGAACTGTCTTGGTACCGGTTGGCCTTGGAGGAAGAATATAAATTACTGTCAATGGCGTCAAGTTGTGTTGCATTCTTAGGATTGGTGTTTTCAGGATTAACTTTTCGTTTTGACTCCCGACCTCGGTCAGTTTCGTGTCCTTTTCCAATACCTCGAACATAATTGGGGTTTGCTGATCGTTGAGTATCTTCTGTTCTGTTTGTGTTGAAGCCGGGCTCTGGCGTTTGATAAATTTCGGACTTTCGTTTCTTCTTTCGGGCGAATTTCTTGATCTTTTTGACGAGATTCATTGAATTGGCTGCGTCAGTCAGGGCAGCTGCACTTTTAAAATCTTGTCTCCCGTGGACTTTCCTAAATGCTTTTACTTCGTGCTGGAATAGGAATAAATAATGATCCTCAATATGACCTCCATCACTACCATAAAATATTTGCTCATCTGGGCATCAGCTACCACCTATTAAGTTGACTCATCATCTCCTCAGTTGGAAAAATATCGTGCAATGATCCCATAAACGGAATATGACAAAATTGCACAACATTTTCTTTACTTTTGTTAAACAAAACAAGCTTCAATATAACACTATTGAGAAAAATCAAAACAGCAAAGTCTAAGAGATACTTACGTTCGTCCTGTGTTCAGGAGTAGGGGCAATAGGTGGAGGAATGTAACGATCATCTTCCTAGAAACCACACAAGATAGATTTAAAACATATCATTATAACATACCAGTGATTTAAACACTTATTATTACAACATAAAACAGATAGTATTTACTATAGTAGATTATATTACAACGATCGGGTTTGATTTACTAAAACACGGTGATTTTTTGGGCAGCGTCGGTAAGTCATACTTCAAGAAATAAAATATAGTTCAAAATAAACTGTATGAGCAAGTAATGATTATATTCACAGAAATCATAAGGGCAGGGATATGAATTTTGCATATGAACCAGTAAAACAGCAGGTTTTAGCAGGTAAGGAAAGGGCTAATAAAAATGAACGCCTAGAAGTGCAATATTGACTGTATCTTATACATGTAAACTGTTACTGAATGATGCTAGCGCACCACAATTACTGGAAGGTTGTTTTAGTCACAAAATGGGCGCCTGATAAATTCATTCAAAATGATCGTAATATTTGTCCAACATATTTATTGACTATGCACCGAAAACAAACAGCCAAAGTATAACCAATACAGCCCCTAAAACGACTGGGATTATAGGAGTATAAGGCGATAGATGAAAAGAAGATTAGGGGGTAAAATAAGGGTTGTTATTTATATATTGTTATTTGATTCATTAATCAAAGGATTTATGAGTCTTTTGCTGATTGTCAAACGGTGGTTTTATTACCAAGATTAACTATTACTATACTCGACGATTTTATATGTCATACATTCTTAATGATCACCTACTGTGACTTGCTGACAAAACAGTAAGGAAAATGAAAAAAGGTTACGTCCCACTACGTTTCTGCGCATCTGTATAGAGCCGTTAATAACGTAGAGGCAGAAGAGTCACTTGCCAATCTTTAATCGAAACATTAACACCTTCGGATTTGTCAAATTTAAGGATTTTGCAAAATGTGAATTTCAGCTTGAAGGGGACAAGGCGGTCCCCAGACTCATATTCCCAACTGAATCGATACAGTAATTTAACGACCGGATATATGGAAAGGGTTAATAAAGATGAACGTGTTCAAATGAAATATTTCTTATTGACTACCTTAATTTGTTTAAAGAAGATAGGTAACAAGACTCATTTAATATAACAATATCGACAAAGACTAATTTGATCAATGAACAACTGAAGTTGAAATTCTAACTTTCTGTGGTGATTATAGATAAAAGGGAGATATACTCTGTATATTGTTCAACAGTGTCAATATTTCACCGTTCAAGAGAAACAACACTTACTTCCATTCCAAGGGCACTATCATTAGACATACGTTCTTCTTTGCTTGCCTTGTCTTCATACGTTTTTGTGATGGGGTCGAATCCATTATCATATACAAACTCTCCATCAAAATCATCAAATCCGTACGAAGTCTCCACATCGACTTTACCCTTGTATTTCTTGATGGATCGCTTGGTGTAATCAGGGAACATGATCCTAAGATGAGGAGGGGCTTTACCTCGTTCTCCAAAAGCATCATCTTCTTCGTTGTATCGACCATCGACTGTATCAACAGCGCGTTTATCGTCCAGTTTCTTCTGCTTGGCTTCAAATTCCTTCTTGAAGCTGATGTAATAGTACACAAGGACAATGCTGATGAAGATGACTAAGAGGATTATAACCACAACAAGGGCAATAATCCAGTCTGTACTCGCAGCAGCAAGAGCTGGCTCAGTCGTTGTAGGTAGGGCTGTAGTTGATTCAACTATAAAACAACATTGTTAATAGCACAACACCACGAATGATTTGACAAAACGTTAACATCCACTCAAATTATATTTTCATAACAATCCACTTCTTTATACATGTAATAATTTGTTGATGAAAAAAATACTTTAACAATTGTTTGAACTTAAGAAAAAAAAAGTCAAAAAATATGATACAATACTTTCTGTGGTTAAACACTTCACTTCAATACTTACCACACGGTGCTAAAAATATAAATAAAGTTAGTAAAATTTCCAATATCCGATTAACACTCCCTGAGATGTTGGACCCCAAGAAGGCATGTAATATATTTGATTAAACTTTTGGAATGAAGCATTTTATAAAGATGAAAATATCAATTAATGATGTTCTGCTCTCAAATGGAATTCTGGAGAATTATGTGCTTATCAAAAGGCATTTATTGTAGCAAAAGTTTTGATAACATCTAAATGATAAATACCAGAGTAAGATAAAACGGCAGCAGCTCCGGGAGACGGAACGTAGGTGGCATTCTGGTCGTCTTGACACTGTTTGGGATATTGGGTAAACTCTATCTGGCTGGTGTTACTGGTATCCAAAACCTGGAAGATCAAAATCAACTACCAACATCTATCACTGGAATCTCTAATTTGGTGAGGTCTGTGAGAGAGGTGCTAGATTAATAACTCGCAGTAGATAACAATTCATTAAGTGTATGAAGTTTATAATGGTATTTCCATTATTATCAGTAGGTGAATACTCATTGCTTTAAGAAATTTTATTTGGTTATTACGTTTTTAAGAACAGACAAATTTTCAAAAAATGTCATTATTGTTAATACAATTCTTCTTACGACTGTGATATACATGTACATATTTACTTACATACAAGAGGAGCTGATGTCCTAAACAAGCTACTAGACTTGGTATCAGTATAAAGACTTACCAAACACGTTAATTGGTAGGTATCGTTGACTGTTGGTGAATAATCTCGGTTAAATACTGTTAAATATGTTAAATTATTCGCTTGAACAGAATGAAGACAATGGACGATACCAGTCGCTGAAATACAATATCGGGACAATGAGGAACCGTTGGAACTGACACATCTTTTTCTAGTAACAATGATTCTGGTCTGGATTCAATTCAAGTAGCTAGCAGTTCGACTCCATTGTGCATTGCATTTTGCATATTATATTTTATATTTTGATTTTCTTTAATACCTTCCAGGTTCATCAAGCTGAACGAATGGGAATAGCTTCCAATCTACACTTAGTATGGGACTAATTTAACTTTAGTAGTACACCGCGGACAAAAGGTTTCTCATTGTCTTTGTTTCTCTCTGAATTTGTTGCATTTTAATCAGATTGAATAGAAAGACTTCAGTGAAGTTAGGTTTTGTAACCGCTGATGAAAACTTACAAGAATAGGCCATCATTTGTGTTGAACATCCCGCAGTATAGTTGAATGTCATCTCGGATGTAGCTGAACAGACACCAAATAACGTAGATTGGTCAGAACAGGAGTCGTTACCGTTTCCTACATCTACAGTGTAGGTAAAATACTGTTGTAATGCTGTCGGACATGCAGTACTCGTTGTGCTGAGTGATTCTGAAATAACATAGTTCGAATATCTAATTAAAGAAATTCTTTTTTGTGGTCGACACCACACAGAAGTATGCGGTTGTAAACAACACGAACGTATGCACGTTTTGCATTTCACTGCTTTATGGATACGGAAACGTGCAATTTTTTCTGGTGAAGACAATGGCCTAAAGTAACGGTTCGGTTTTTTTTCCAATTTCACCTTACCGACACCTGACAAATATAGCTATGAACAAGGCATATTTGGAAGCTTAAGTAAAAATTCATCTGAGAAACTGATACCAAAGTCTTACCATTTTTCAACAGAATTTTATAAGAACCAGATATTTGAGAGGATAATGCACAGATCTCGTTAGTATTAATAGTTTGTCCTTCTAAATACATCTTGACTCGTTCATTTCCAGCATCTGATAGTCGATCTGAAAGAAAAACCCTGAGAGTATTAGAAAATTTTCCGGGAATCTGTTCAAATATAAAAAAAAAAACAACAGTTATATTCTTGTGATACTTCCCCATTGTTTATTACTGGGTTCTGTAACTTTTGTGATGAGTTACCTCCCTTGAACTTGAACTGTTGACATTATACATGATAATATTTCCATCAGTTACCTCCCTTGAACTGTTGACATTATACATGATAATATTTCCATCAGTTACCTCCCTTGAACTGTAAAATGGATCAGTCACTATTCCAATTTTGTTTTACCTTCAAATTTTTGTGTAGGCCCTATATTGAGGGGAAATTAATTTTCTAGAAACTCTATACCACTTTTCATTATAAAAATCTTCCTCATTTATGATTGATATACCTCATGTGAAAAGTTCATTAGCTGCTACCATTAAGATTTGGATTTCCGGACTCGTTTGCGGTTCTGATCGTTAGTATCGTTATTGTTTTTTTTGGAGCATCAAATACTTACTTGACATCTCATAATAAGAATACTGGTCCGACGATATTTCATTCAAATCCCAACAAACATACGCTTTCCAGTTCAAATCAAAATACTTGAAGGTATTGGACCTGTAAACATAGAATATATTGTAAATATATAAAATTTGTTAAGATCTGAAAAGGTCGTACAATTAATTAATTTACAATCGTTTTGTATGGATATCAGTTTGGATCGCATGGGTCCATAAATCATGAATATTTGCCAAGTCGACCGAGCTCCAGTTCCTAATGTAGGTCGAGTAATACTCACTCACAAATTGAAATTGTAGTTACTTACTCTAAGATGAATCTGTTAGCGACCGCCAGAAAACAGCTGAATTCAAACGATCCTAGAGAACCAATATTATACCCACTGAGACTAGTTGTATTGAAATTCAATAAGCCTTTGGTGCTGTCGAGAAACGATCCTTGTAAATTGGTAGGTAGGTTACAGCCATCATCTGGAAAAAATGATAGTTGTCTATAAAAAAAAATAACTTTTTAATATATACACAAAATGTAGAAACGAAAACATATATCTCAAGCTTTCAGTACCTTTCTGTAAGCTTTAGGTTCCGAAAAAGGGAAGTTCAGTCGAAACCCTGTTTGATATCGTTGTAATATTTCATGTGAATGAATTATTATTCATGAAAAAGGCTCAGGCTAATGCATGGTTCAAAGTTTGATAAAATAATCCATTAGATGAACCAAACTAAATTGTTTTTGAATTGGTGAAATTATAAATACAGCATTTTATTTTTTGTATTTTACGCAATATAATGCTTTATCAAAATTGCTTATATTAAAATCATTTGCTTCGGTAGGTTTGTAATTGAAAAAGTATAAACATAACTTACTGCTCTGGCACAATATTAGAAGAACGAAACTTAAAATCAACGTTTTCATATTTAGCTCTTGTGTTGATCTGTTTCTTTACTGTGCCATTTATTTTATTCCAAATCAAAGAACTCCAAAAATGATGAATCGAAAACTTTCACCAGATTCCGTGTTGTATTTAAAGTTCACTTATCGACCCAAAAACGAAATAAACGAAAAGGTACAGAACCGAGTCCTTGAGCAATCGATATACAGTCTGATTTTCACAGTTCGAAGTTTGTTGGTCTTTAGTTCGACTTTCCTCGGAAACCATAACAGTTAAGCCGGCTTAAAACCGTGTGTGTAAATCTTACTGGATTAATTGATCTCAATTGGGATTAGTTAATCCCAGGTCTTAATCCCTTTGTATTTAGATTAAGAAAAATATTCTTAATTTATCTCATGAACAAGATCGGACAAGTGACTCTCTTTGCAATGTATTGCTCAGGATTTTACCTCGAAAATCGAAATCGGGTGATTTTTGATACGGCGACGTCTTAATCTTTCCAGTTCATTAATTTAAATAATATTTTACAGCAATGCCCATATTTTTGCAATATACCAAGGGACTATGAGATTTGGCAGAGGACTATAGCTATAGCTTTTATTTGCAGTAATGAGGGTGACCTGCAATAAGGCACGAGGAAGAGTATGTTCACTCTTTCTAGAACACCTGATACTACCTCTCGAGAGATGTCCACTTTTATTTACTTTCATTACGGGATGTTGTTTTCCGATATTTCGGCTTTATCTCATTATTCCAGTAGTTCAGAGTCACGAGTATTTCACGCAGTCCATATCGATGTAATGTTGTCGATGTATATAATTCGTTACCCATTGTCCGATGTTTGATCAAGGTACAAAATATTAGATTAAGAGTTCTGTCCCTTACTTTGGATTTTGGTATGTTTCCATAACACTGGTTTCCCGATTTTAACTACCATCGACCCCAAACCATAACACTACAGGAGTTGTTTCCCTTGTGGTGTATATGGTTAGCTTTTTAAAATTTATTACCGGGCTAGTACAAACACTTAGATCGTAAGAAGAGTTGCCAATATGTCGAATTTTGATATACAGTACCACTCGACGGCATTATCTAGTCTGCAGTATTTCATCTATCTATTTATCTATCAATATCAACATAACATTACTGAGTTATGTCCCTTGCTGTAGACACGAGAAAGTGGTGTAGATATTATTTGCTGAGTCAACTAATTCTATGGTTGAGTACATACGATGAAATAGTAAATGTTAGGTCTCTTCCAACGAAGCATTTAACGATAGTATCTGTATGGGGTATTTCTCCCTATAAAAATATCCACAAAACCTTACAGAGTTATGTCCCTTGTAATGTATATGAGAAAGTTATGTGGCCGAGTACATATATTTATTTCGCAAGAAGTATGGATCATATTCCAAGTAAGTCAAGTAATTCTATAGTCAAGTACATATAATCATAAGGGTTATATCTCTTTCGACGCATCTTGATTTGTCAATTATTGTTTTAGAGTACTTTTCCCATCAATATCAACATACCGTTACTGAGTTATGTCCCTTGTTGTCGACCATGAGTCAAGTAATTTTAGGGTTGAGATAATATGGCTATAAGAAGTTGTTCAGTTAAAAGGGATATTCAGAATGGATTACTAAGATATAACATAAATATGTCATTAAAAATCCACCACTAGCAAGTCATAAATGTTCGTTTTCTTTATTTCTTTTAAGAACGATATTTGGTGTCGGATTCGCTAAATGAAAATAAAAAAACAAATAAACTAGTCATATTATTTTTATTATATAGTATCTTCAGTTAAATTTTATATCGATTGTAAATGGGGGAATTAATAATCGTGTGGGGAAACGGAAGTCAAATAAATTATCGTCAATCCTTTCGGTGCTAGAAAGGAGTTGGATGTCTGATTATATGGGTATCTAAAATCTAATTGAGCTAAACGGGTTCTTGGGCGAACATATTTAATCTTATGAAAGTTGGTAAACTGTGAAGTTGATTGATCTGGTCGAAAAAAGTTAATGAAAATCGTTATAATCGAAACGTTCCATAACTTCGTATTACACCCGTCCGTGTCAGCTGCATTATTGCCAGACCTCCTAGTTAGTAAGTCGCGAAACCCCATAACTGACCTATCGGTGATATTTTTCTAGTTTCACAGTGCGAAATGTGTATATTACCCTTTAACGAGTATATATAATGTCTGAAGTGGGTAATATTAGCTGTATTTGACAATGATAATGACGGTATAAACAGTTAATGGCCCAATATATACACCCGTCAGTGATTTCACCCGCCCTTGTTGAATTTAAAGAGATGACGGGACATTGTATGCTCCATCTGTGCAACTTTGATAGAAAAAATAAGTAAAATTTAGGACTAGATCCACCCTAGAAATTATTATTATTACATGTTCCATTCAGTGTTAATCTTTAGGAATATAACTACTGTTAGAGCGATCATGCTTTGGTCACACAATTTACGTAACTGGCTTCTTAATTAGGAGTACGAGTTAGCGATCGAATCAGCCTTCTAGTCAAGAGTTAAGTGTGACTTGCCATCAAATGTTAATGTTACTTCAATAGTGACTGTTATAGTCGTCATTTCTGAAAAATGATTCACAATTTATATATGTCACTTTCTTATGGTTACGTACCACAATTCACAAATCCAAGGTTACATCGGCCCTTTGATTGCTATAGATTGCACGGTCATTTTGTAACCTTTTCTAGTTGGCCATTGAAGGTGTAATTAGGACCGAGTTGAGTAATCCAAATTTAAAAAAACATTCAAAATTATCCGCCATTGTCTGATAAGAATGAAACAGAAAGTGTTTCAATTGTTTTCTATTGAACACGAACATTAGTAAGGGATTGTTTCACGCGATAATCTTTTATTCATGTTAATCTGTTAAGCCAGAATTAGGGACGGATTATTTTTGATTATGTCAAAGACGTCAGTAAAATTCATTTTCAGTAGCATGTTTGTTTTTCGTGTGTCGAAGTGTAATTAAGAAAACATATGAAGTAAAAATGTTATAATTTTTTTCTGAAGGCAGTTGATAATTATTTTTAAATAGGAACCTGTTGCAGGAAATTGCTTCAACAGATTATTTGATTTCCTTAGATACAAGATTTTCGTGAAATGTTCTGTGATTGAAACGTGCCAAAATGGCGAGGAGACACGAACGTTATTATTGTTGGATACTTCTAACTTTTTATCAAGGTAAGTCAACGAAATATTTCATATTTCAAAGCGAAGTGAAATCGGGTTGAAGCAAGGATATCCTTTTGGCCCTTTCTTATTAAGTCTGTTTGAAAATGAATTCTTTACCAACAATAAATCACACACACTGTGAAGAATAGCAGAAAGACTGTATCCAATCGAATATATATATATTGTGTTATAGTATTTTTCTATGAGTTCTCAGTAAATATGAAGCTTCGCCATCTCCCCTTTATGAATGTGGAGATTTTTACTATGACCCACGACACGAAATCCATCTCTCTATTGCAGCAACTTTGTGCTTGACATGTACCTTCCCTACTGATTTATTTGGAACATTTGACAGTACCAAAGAAGGAAGCCTGGATTTTAACTCTACAACTTATGGTCAATTTAGTATCGCAACTCAGAGTCAAACTTTTACCGATCTAGATTTCACATGTCATATAAACTCTGGTACTAAATATGTCAGCAAGTATGTACACATTTTCTTCTCTTCACTGTCAAATATAGTATGTATACTATTTTATTTTCGTATCCGTCAAATATATTACTATAAGCTATGAAGGTGGTATGGTAGAATAATTAGAGAAAAAGGATGACACATGCAAAGGAAGTGCGATAACATCTGTCTTTTCTAGTTTACATAACCCACACCCTCTCCCCCAAAAATGCCATCAGCAATCAACAAAATGTTCAACTATTGTAGTAAATGTCTGACTTTGTCCTTAACAAAATTTGGTTTGTAAATACTAAACCTATTGATTGATTACTCATCACACAATTAAAAGACACTGAAAGTAGCCCCACTCTTAGTCTCGTTGGGGCAGTCATATTGAACATTATTCCAAGACTGAATTATAAAATACTTCCTCATGATTGATAGACATCCTCAGTTCATAAGCTGCTACCAATGGATTTGGATTTTCGGTTAGGATCGTTAGTACTTAAATATGTTTATTCCAAAAAGAATGTAATTTGGAGTTATTATTTTTGTTTCAGATCTCAAGAATTCTCTATTTTTAGTAGTGCTTTTTATGCCTATATGTGTCTGGATATCACATCGGTTTCCCGCAACCTTTATTATTACTACTATGCCACACGTAAGTATTGTATACACGAAAAGCGTTCTTGAATAATGACTCTAGTTTTATAGATAATTACTTGGTTGTTATGCATTTATATCATTTTAATATATAATATAGTTATGACACCATGTAAATCCACTGGTGAATATATACTCTTATCAGTCAACCTTGGAGTCAGATCAAACTTCCGAGTTCGATTCATAGGAGCATAGTGTGGTACCCTCACAGAGAATATTCCGGACTGAAAAGCTGGAATAAAAACTGCATCTCAATCTTATATAAATACAAAGTCAGAATCGTTCAAGCTCCAACTCAGATTGCAAACCCTGCTCAAAACGGTTTTTGAATAAGTATTGCAGTTTAATGGATTTATCTGATTATACAGGGATTTTGTTGTATAGTGGCACAAGGTACGTCCACTGATAATTATAATATACTCTTTTTTGTCAACCCTGTGCTTCGAACAATTCCAATCTCTTATTTGTCGAGAATTATTTAAGTAATATTCAGATGGTTAATAGCTTAAAATATACATGTTTTATTTACAGAAACTCTACCCCAGGCAAACGATGCTCGCGTCAAGATTTTCCCCATCAGTACTGTAGTTGGTTCTATAACCGATGTTTGTGATGAGCCCACACCGTATCAACAACCTTACAGCATATTGCTTAAAAATGGTAAGACGACTGCTTATTGGTTGGGTTTAAAGAATTCTCAGCCTTAATGCTTGCATCAGTGATTAACAAAACAAGTTCATAAATGCATTGTCAGATTATCTGAGTTAATTATAAATCTTGTGCGGAGGAATAATAACCTATTTCACATTTTCCATCTATGGTTCATTTATTTCACATAATTATGGTGAGCGACAAAGAACATCAGTTTTGTTTGTGGTTTTTTCTTATGGATTTATTCACAAACTGTGAAACTATGACTGATCCATCGAGACTAATATATTTGTATCGAAATCATTTTTACTTCAGATACTATTATTACCGAAGAGATGATACCATGTCCAGCGGATCTTCAGGGTTATTTTAGTTATAGCATGAATGATGGTGCCAATGGTTTCTGCGAGAACCAGACAACAGCCTTAGATACCTGTACCAATACCTCTATACTGAATTTTGATTATAATTCCTGCAATGATTCCATTCTGTATTCTGGTAAGCTAAGCTTGGTTGTTCATCAACATCCGTGGTGAATAAGAAAAAAACAAGTACAAGCGATCTTAACTGCAAAACGAAACCCAAAATAACTGTTTGTCATTACATTAGTTATAGCAAATAAACAATTCCCATGATGAAGTATATTAATGATAAATGAGTAAGTGTCCCAATGATTGAATGAGCTTGTCTTGTTCTCGCTTATATAGAGGCCAAAGGTTAATTCTAGCATTGGTTGGAGAGGTTCATCCGAATTTCAGTCTTTTGCTGGTAATGCAACTACAAGACTAGCTTGAATCAAACTGACCTGTTATCCGAATTACCTAAGGAGTAAACTGGTTTGAATTATCCAAATGTAAAATTTTAGCCCTTGGATTGTTTATTTGCGTCTTATGATTCTTCTTTGTAGCCACTGGTAAACTCTATTGTTTGTTCTACCAACAACCCAGTACTGGGGTTTACCAAATAACACTGTATAATGGTGATAACACTACAGATAACATTAATACTCATAGATTTTCTTGTATGGTAAGTGTCAACCATATACAACATATACAAGTTCAAGGAGCAATATTGAATATATAGATCATTGAGGACGCTTTTAAATTGAACTGATTTAGGTTGATATTCACTAAATCTTCATTCCCCATTACAAGTTTCAAAATTACCTTGTCAAAAACAAACCACACCAAGGCGACACAGCAGAATCACAGAAAACATGTCCGGGTCTTTGACGAAAATCCTATGTTCATTAAAAATCACATGTCCATAAATGTTGGTTTAACATTTCGCTATCATTTCAGATGTTTGAGAAGGGAGTCAATGAAAGTTATGCTACCCAGTATCCCACGGAATGTCAGAATTCAACTGTGATGAATTCTACTACAGTACCTTCACCTGGTGCTTCTATTGTATTCACACATACAGGTAAATTAAAAGCTCGGTATTTTACGGTCAGTGACTTTTGGCAGGTGGGTAACGGGATTTTTGACCCAAAGAATGGAATCCAAACCAAGAATGAAAAATTTTTAAGATACAACGAAAGGGCCTGTTTATCCTGATTTACCAAACGATCAGCATCCCTATCTTTCAGTCCCCCTTCCAGGACGTTGATCTAGCTTCGGGCCACTGCAAACAACTTGCGTGAGTAGATAGTGTTAATCCCGATTGTGTGTTCAAGGATTAATGAATTGTATTTTCATTTCTTTCAGGAGAATGTCGTAAGTTGAAGTTTTATGAAGATGATTATATTTTACCTCATCATCATTTCTAAAGACTAAGTATCGTTTCCGGCTTCTAAAAAATCAATTTATTTACCTACACGATCTTTGACATTTCGTTTGTGTGTAGCAAGCTTATATTGCATTTCACAATTTTTGTACTCAGTAATGTCCCAAATAAAATGACATTTCCAATAATCTGAAATCCGAGAACAAATAAGAACTGGCTTTGTATGTTGTTGATTTATTGTGAAAATTGATGAAGATATACAGGCACCTGTATTCCTTATCAATTCAGGATATTTTACAAAGGTTTGGTTTCTGAAATTGTTCAGCGTTCCTTTCACTGATCATGATTTGAATATGGGTTGATGTACTTCCTCATGAAAAGTTCATAGCTGCTACCAATGTTTTGCCACTACGTTGTTTTTGATTTCGGGTTTCGTTTAGCGGTTCGGATCAATAATACTTAGTTTATTTATACATTGTCCTGTTCGTAACTAAATCTTTCATTGTTTTGCAGCTGGGCCCAGCACCTTACCATCGTTAACTACTGAATCACCTACTGCCGGTGCAGCAACTGACATAAGCGGAGCGTCTCTGACCGGAGGGCTAATTGGTGGTGTTATATTCGTGGCTGTTCTTATAGTTCTAATTGTCATTTTAATGAAAAACAACAAAAAGTCCAAAGAAGAACCAGATACTGAAAGAGGAAAGGAGAAGACCAAGAAGTCTAAAAACACAAGCAAAGTTGAACCTCAAGCGGTTCCCCAGAAGACAAAGAAGCGAGTTGATCGTAACGCTCGACCAATATTCACGCCAGCTCCACCGAAATCTATAGATGACCACAGACCATCGAAACAACCAAGCAGTATATTTGATATGGAAAGTGAAGAAGGTCTTGCTCCGAGCCTTGAGAAAGAGTACACCTTACCAATCTATAGCGATTATGGAGATTGCTCTGATCTTGAGGACGGGGAACAGAAATCCCCACAACCGACGTTCATAGAGTCTAAGAAAATACAACAGCGATTACGCGACTCTGGAATCGTAATGACTCCACCCCCGGATTCAACAACTACACCTGATGTCCAAAGAGCACAGAGTGTTATGGCGAGAAACTCTAGAGCTTCCAAAATGGGGAGTCTGAATTCATCAACATTAGGGCCGCCTCCTGAACCGGTTCAAGGACCACAGTATAACCCAGTGAAAGACACAGCTGTGTGAACGAGACGTGAAATTCCATAATTGGATTTGTTGAATTTATCTTTTTTGTACACTTTTTATGTTTCTTATCGGGGACACTGATATAATCGATTTAGTGTTAGTGTAGTGTGACCACAGACATTTGGCTGATATCTGAAATAAAAATGAAAATCGGTACACGCAAGACATATCAGATCCAAAGTATGGTAAAATCAAGATTAAAAGTAATGGTCTCCTCTAATGGTGCAAATCGATGCTATCAGTGTCCCCGATACACCAAAACATTTTCTTCATTCGAGCGAGTAGCCTAGACTAAGAAATTGTTGATTTATAATACTTGATGATATTTCTAGTACTTGATCCCGGTATCGATAAAAAGAAAACAACAGAGCAAGAGACAAGACAGAACAATGTAATATGACAATCATTATATTAAAGAGATAGGTTCGCCATTTGTTGATCAATCGTACCTTAATTTCAAAATGTTTTTTTAAGCTAAGCTAATCAGTTATAGTGTTAACAGCTAACCGTCGAAATTTGAGCTTTCAAATTGATGTGTGCCCAAAATTATCCGCGTTTGAATATTTAAAAGATGAGTCGTCTTTTCTTGAGACTAAATACTTCTATAGAAATAGTTTGTGGAATTCCTAATTTGGGATATTTTGGAAGGAATTATGCGATTTGAGTACACTTCTAGTACTTCTAAAGACTACTTACATCTATTCGAGACCCAAATCGGACCCCTTTAAGTGTGTGTCTGTAAGACAATAGGTTAACGCTTTATCGGTTGATAAATACGAACAGCTCGTTATAAACAATAATAGATTCCCCATTCATTCCTTAAAAGGAAAAAATACGACGATGGATCAACAAATGATAAATATATATATAGACACAGCTTTATGGAACAAAAATACGATGATGGATCAGAATTCACAAACTGTTGTTTAATCCACAAATGATAAATAGTGAACTAATTTTCTATATTTTTCTTTCTGTTATCGGGATGTTGTTCTATGCCTAAGCCACGACTCTATTATTATTTTAATCTCATTTACATAAAATCTGTGATATGTATGATATTTTTATAGTATGTTATAACTTAGTTGTCAAAATAGTAGATCTATTAAAAGTGTTTAAAACGAAAGGTTATCTGGAATTGCTTTCACAGATTCAACTGATTTGTATTCTCTCATTCTGAACTGCTCCAAATGGAAGTTATCAAAATGTGATTAAGTTATATGCCAAAACCCACTTTTAAAGTCCAAAGTACAAAACTGTATGAACAATCAAATATTTACAAATCAGTACTGTCGTCTACTAAGGAATAATTTAATCACCTTCGAGACCGGATGAAAACAATTTTTTGAACAATCAAACCTGGACATGTTTCAAAACAAAACAAAATGTGAAGTACATGAAACGTACAGTTAATAAAATGCTGTTAAACTCGGAAAAAACAGATGCAAAAACCCTTTCCACACAATACTTCAGACATAAAATCAACATCCGAACGCAATAGCCCCTAGCTTAATTAATCTTACACAAATCTCTTGTCAATATTATTATTTAATCACTTTAAGTCTAAGATAATATTCCTATATCATAATAACACACAATGAGTACACGGCTTCACCATCAAGCCGATATTACATTATATGTCGTTGTTATATATATATATATTCGTTGATCCGTACTTGGACTGTGATGGATTCCGAAGAGTATAGGGCTTGTAACATTAGACAGGTATAATATAAAAAGGCATCACAACGATATCATAATCATGTTTAAGAGATAAAGCGTTTATACCGAATATCCAACGTTTGTGATAATCAGGGTAATAGAAATGATCACATGATCGAGGCTGTGAACAGCCAACAAGAAAACGATCCCATAGCTTTTAACTTGATGTAGCCAGAGGACGTTAAAATATCCACCAGGAGGTTCTTACTGTGGGAATTATTACGAGATAAAAACCATTTTGAATTTATTTACACAAACCGTCTTAAAAGGATATTAAGTAAAATAATCGACTTCTTAATTGAAGGTTCACTATCACTAGACGGTTACATAATCAAACACAATATAAAGTAAATTGCAATCTATCACAAACTTTGCTATTTGTGACACTAATGGAACCCAATCAAACATCATTTAAATAAAGTGCTGAAAGTAACGTAACCTCAAAGGTTTGATCAAAAACTTAAGCACTGTATACATGTACTTATTTTATGTTTGTTTTCTTTGGTAGGAAGGAATCGATCTGATTGTATCTCATGATGTTGACCATTATAGTAGTGACTGTGTTGCTCGCAAAGTAGACCTTGCTTACCCTTTTTGAAACACCTGTTGGTACTTCTATAAGTGTCCACTACTATACATTCACGATTTGCCATTCTTTGGAAGAGATTTTTGATTGACGTAATTGTTTTGCTTGTACGTAATTTTTTTTGTTATCCAAAATCACGTTTTACAATCTTAAGTAATTTGTAATAATTTTTGTTTTGATCTAACAGTTAATATACAATTTTCTTTATATCCTGTCGACAGCCGTACTCTTACAAAATATATTCTACATTTGAAACAAAACCTGCAACGCCGGATTTATCTACTCTAACACCTGTGAAATTCAGAAATTTGACTTGATTAACTTGGTTAACTTGGTTAACCTACCTAAATCGATTATATTTCCATGGAATATTTCAGTGGTTCGACATATACCTTTCAAGAGTAACCGAGTAATAAAATATTCCCGAGTAGTCATTCTTTAATTTGCATTTTACGTTAAAAGTTGTGTGGTGTTTTGAAATATTAGACAATCCTGTACGATTTGTTACATTCTTTTCAGTTTACGTTAAAATCCACGACTGTATACAGAACACGGTATGGTTGGTTTCATGCTAAAAATTTATAATTAAAAGCTGTAGAATAGATCAGCAATATTTTTTTTCTGACACAATAGGATAAGATTGATTACCAACTTTATATCAATATTGGCTTCTTATCTAGACAAAACACTATTTTTTGAAAGTATCAGCTTTAATTACGTTTCATTGATATCACGCTAGAAAGGCCGGGACAATATCATATCTTTGGTATAACACAATTGAGAGTATTAATTAGTCTATTTTAACAGTTTTGGTTATTGTGCAACTAAACTCTAATCAGGATGTAATCACTGGAATATTCAGTTACCTTAATACTGAGACAGAAACCTCTGCAGGTTATAAGGACATTTATTAATTGCCAAAAACTTCCATTTGTAAAACTTCTTTTCAATATGAAATACTCCTCACGTATTGATATACTTGAACATATGAAAAGTTCAATAGCTGCTACCAATGTTGCGCAAATATCGTCTTTTGAATTCTTGGTGTCGTTTTCGCATCGTTATTACTTGATTTATTTATTTTACTTTTAGCTCATCTTCTGTATTTAGTTCTATGTTGACTCAAAGTCCCGGTTACTCTCATATTTCTCATCATTAAGCTGATTGCCAATATCAAATTTTTCAACAATTTTTCACGATTTCTCATAATTTCATATAAGAAACATCATCGATTGAGAATTATATTCTTTTTCTCGACATTGATCTTGAAGGTAAGACATTTGTTAAGGTGATTGGGTGCAAGCATTCAAGTAAAACTTGCTCTACATACAACGACCTACATCTAGACACCTGATACCACTTTTCATCATGAAATACTTACTCACTTATGATTGATATACTTTCTTATATGAACAGTTCTTTTCTAACCGCTGTTTATTGATCAGGTTTAAATTGGTTGGTTTTTTTTAAAAAAAAAAAAAACGATAGTCTGACTGTTTTGAAAAGCTAGGTGAAAACTATTGACCAAATGTGACTGAACTGTGTCCGTGTTAACTTAAAGTATCTTGCCTTTAATTTTTTAGAACGTCAAAAGTATTTAAATGTTTTATGTTAACTTTTTAAAGTCTTGCTGTTTTTCGTTGGTATTGGAAACTAATGAAAAGTGAACTTCAATAACCCCGTTTAAATTTATAACTTATACCAATCATTAGCGCATTCCGTTTTTAATAACCTAAATTAAACAAATTCCGGTTCATCCGGTTCATCACGTAGGTACATACAAAAGATGTAAAAGCAATATAAATGAAATCTTACAAGTATAATTTACGATGTTTTAAATAATTAAAATTATTTATACCGCATTAAGATGAACCTTCAAGCTATCGATGAGCCATTTGAAACGCTTGTAATTGGAACTTCAATCTTCATAAACTTCAAAAGTATATCAATGAATAATATATGTGTCGGCTCAACCAAATCATGAAAGCAGTGAGCTGTGTTACATTTCCATCATTAAATATCCAACAATGTCATTTGAATCATATATCTTCATATATGTCTATGGGCCGTTTTATCTTTTTATTCGTGTTTTTGTGGAAGAATCATGAGGTCTGAAAGCGTTGTAACCTTAATAACACAGGCAACTGGGATTTGAACAAAGGAGCACACGAGTTTCATAAAAGAAAGTTAATTGGATTCGTTTCGCCTTCATATGTTAATGTAAGAATACCTTGTGGGATAGCAAGATGATTCTATGTCATAATACCAGATGATAAGTCGGCGTACCATTGTCTAAGCTGTTTTATCCTGGAAGAATATCGTGGTCTAGTAACGATGGGTTTAAAGTTGAAAAGTTAAGCATACCATTCTTTATAGCTTGGACTCTGGGCTTGGAAAGTAACCGGATCTATGTCTTACGGTGCCATAATGTTACCAGTCTTGAGAGTCCTAATAATACTGGTTGCATGTGGTACCTGCAGCTCGCTCTACAGTTTTCCCAAACCACCTTTCGCCAGATTCGAAAAGACAGAAATCATAGACCATACATGTGACAAATCTTGGCATATTGAAACTGTTGAGTCAAGGAATATTTATAAATGTGGATTGAAGTGTAACAGATTTACAGATTGTAGACGGTTTCTATTCTGTGAAACTAAATCAAAATGTGCACTGTATGGTGATGGTACCGATTGTGTTCTTGATGGTGATGCTACGGGATGCCATTGTTTCAGAAAGGTTTGTTGTTTCACTCTATAACACCTTGTTGTAGACTCTCTGTTGGCTGGTTGGTAGATGACAAGTTAAAAACTACCAGTTAGCTGGAAAGCGAACGTTAACTTGTCATCTACCAACAACTTCCTAATCTGTGATATCAGTTAACTGGAAGCGGTTGTTAACTTGTCGTCTAACAGCAAATACCTACTTACTATTTCCCACGACACCTTAAATGTTCAACGGCATTGTCAACCACACCACATCAATTGTTGTTTATACGTAATTTGATAGATATGGTAATAGTCAGACGGAATTCATGACCAATCGGTAATAAAGTAGAGAGACTGAACATGCGCTACGAAAGATTTCACAGAATTAATAATTTGTGTCAAAGACCAATAAATAAAAACCGATTAAAATTTTCAAAGCAATTTTTTCCAAATATGAATTGTAAATGATATTAAAAAAACTGATTCTAGACTGTCTAATTAAATATGATGCAGATATGAGCAACCACTACTATTGTTTCAGCTTATTGGTTGTAATGGTGTAAATTGTATCTGTCCTTGGGGTCACTATGGTGATTACTGTCAGCACATTGTCACAGGTAAAAATTACCTAGGATCCTAACTTAGTAAAAACATTGTTAAATGTTACATCCTTACATTTTGCAGCTGAAAGAGAGACGAGCAATGCCAAGCAATTAACGGTCTCTCCTAGTCCAATCGAGGAACTTTCTACCACACAAGTCACCCAAATCGAACGGGAAGAATATGTGAAGATAAGACGGAGAAAACTTCAGAATACCACCAACTCCAATTCATCCTAAACTAAATATTTTTCTCTTTATTTTCAGATTGTGCTGACGCTGTTTCGAAAGGTATCCGGTGTAGCCGGAATGTTATTACGCGCATTAAACCAATATTATCAAAAGAAGCTTTTGATGTCATATGCAAACTGAATTTACGATCACATTTGACGATTTTGTATCGACTGAGGAAATGTGAGGGGGAGAATTTCAATCGTACTTGGTCTGAATACGAGCAAGGTTTCGGTTCTGTGCCATGGAATAGTTGGTTAGGATTGAAAAAAATTCAACATATTTTAAACAATCAAACATCATTATCACTTCGTATACTTTTGTCGAATACTCACGGGGAATCTTGTTCTATATTCTACGACAATGTCAGACTGGGCGACGCCTCAACTAAATATCAGTTTCAAGCTAGGAGTGTTTACACCTCCATTTACCGCCCCACATGTGGTGACTCCATGATAGGATTGAATAACACCCTGGATCTGAGAGGTCGACCATTTTCTACGTATGATCAAGATGAAACCTCTAATGGTTGTGCTGCAAGATTTGGTGGTGGATGGTGGTTTGCAGATCATCCCAACTGCTCTGACGGTTTTCTGACAGCGACACTAATTGTTGGAAATATATGGTCGGGTCCATTTTGGGATTCTGACATAGAGCAAATCACCATGAAACTCACATCAGATGCATAATATAGATACGGTAAACTTATCATGAATTTATCTTACTATAAGATTACAAGAATTTTCAAACACGCACAGTTACATTTACTTGCTTTACAGTTGCTTTTGTTATGTATATGTTCTTTTTTTCTCTCTCGTTCTCAATGGTAATGTAAAATATTTTATACCACGGTCGCGAGTACTGCTGACGTTCATTTATAAACATTAATATAATAGATATGTTTAAATATCATCTTATCAAAATCTTCGAGAAACAAATATTGGTTGTTGAATTACAAAATGTGTAAAAAATATCGAGTTAATTTAACTAGTAATCTCACAGGGCATCAAAATATCATTCTAAAGCTAATTAAACAGCGTGTACCTCTGAGTAACAACATGTTTCAGTTTCTAATTTCATAGTTCTATACTATATTTGGATTAGTCTTCAATTTATTTATTAAAAATATATAATACCTGCATCTTTTTAATTTTTATTACATACAAATAGTCTAAAATGAATGTCAACCAATGAAAAAGACCTTTTTCATACGAGAGGGTTTCGTGCCTGTGTTGTTAATTACAAAATAAAACGTATGTGCAAGCGTGTTGATTGGTTTGTTTTGAAATGATGAATTTTTGAAAATTCTAATAGAAAGTAGAGGTGTTCTAATGACTTGGAAAAATACCAGTTTGTCTCACATGTCCATAATTAATTCATAATTAGCTAAATTAGAAGAGAATTACCAGCAGAATTCCAATGAGTGACCGATCTAGAAAGTTCAAAAAGACTTTTTTTTGTTTATCCAGACTGTATAAACATGGACATTTATGATTGGTTAATAACATGCAATAAGAACATAATGATATGATTAAGAATACGTGATAATTTATAAGAAATCCATCTTTAAAAGGTTTCTTTTTCATAAAAAATCATATTTTATATTGTCCTGTGTTTTACTACGCTCAAATGTTTGTATTCTTTAAGTCATTTATTGGTTTCAATTTCCCAATCTTTTAAAATTACGCGATGTTTAAATGAACATTGATCCGAAAGAAACATTTGATCGCCGTGGAAACCATTGATATAGCTGCCATGATAATAATGATGTGGTTTCTTTTAAAATTTTAAAATACTGGCCGATCGATTTAAAAAAGGAAACTCTTAAAAAGATTTTCAGGCAACATTATTTGTAAGGTAAATGGCAGCTAAACTTTGTTATAAATTTTTTTCGATAATGTAGAATTTAATTCCCGATTAATGCCTAATTAACCTGATAAATTCTTCGTAAGAGTTTTAGAAAATTTCAAAACTTTTTCAATTATTGCATCATTTTACTAAAAGTGGTTATTTTGACCTATATGTATCATAGTCTAAAGAATTGGGCTAAATTTACAGCAATTGAATATTTTTCACAAGTGAATATCAACAAGGTACAGTTTCCACTAAATGCATTGTGTTAAATGGGATTGTTCCTCGTGATTTTCTAAAGCTAGCCCTACTTGGATTGAACTGATATTTAAAAACTTAAAAAAATACTTTAAAAAAATATGTCAGTATTGGATTGTTTAGACTTATTTATGAGCAATGGAGTGTTCGAAGTGTCCAAGTATAAAGAATATCACAAATAAATGTGTTCAGCAAGAGAAAGGATCATCTGACTGGTAACTTTCTGAACCCACACGAATTTAAGGATGAAAGGACATTTGGACCAATTGGATATTAATTACGAAGAAAATCATAACGATTAAAGTTGCATTTTCTTTGGTGAGCTAACCAACTTAAGAATTGAGCTGATTCTTAGGGAAACATTGGATATTGGATTGTTTGAATTTATTGAATCTAACGTGGTATAACTGTAGAATATAATTAAATTACCGGAGGAAAGATTATCTCGCACTGTGCATCGTTCACATAACCACTATTTAATGATGGGTTGATTTAGATCGCGTGTAAAGATCTTTTAAAAGGTTGGAAGAACACCTTACCAACATTAACACTCGCTCGTGAATAGATTTTGCTGCCCGTGATAATTCTTGGGATAATGTACCAATTGTGGGACCTTAACTTGAGAAACTGGCCCGGTACAGTACAATTCAGTCTGGTTCTAGACTAGTGGGTATTATTGATGAAGTAAGGTATTAAAACTGGTTCTCCGTTGGAACTTATGGTTTTTCTGTGGAAAACAATCAATATCACTAATTCTATTTGAGCGTTCATTGAACAATTCAATTACTTTTCCTGTCTATTGTTTTGCGCCCTTAGAAACTTTGGATAGTGTTTTTTGTTAAGGCTGGCCTTGGATATCATTGTCTTTGTACCTGTTGGTCCTTCTCTTCGAAGGAGTTCACTACTATACTGACATTTACTCCCGATCTTTGGACGAGAATTTTGATTGACGGAACTGTTTTATTGTACGGATTGTTATTCTTGACAATGTTGGAACGTGCAATGATCCTCGTATTAAGTCTGTCGATGATTGAGGCCTCCATACACACACACCCTTTCGCCAGATTCGAAAAAACCAACATCATAGACTATAAATGTGATAAATCCTGGATTATTGAAATTTTTGAGACAAGGAATATTTATAATTGTGGATTGAAGTGTAATGAATTTGCAGATTGTAGAAGGTTTTTATTCTGTGAAACGAAATCAAAATGTAAACTGTATTTGGATGGTACCGATTGTATTCTTCGTGGTGATGCTACAGGATGTCATTGTTTTAAAAAGGTTCGTGGTTTAAAATGTTAAGTTTTAAAAGGTGCTCACTTGGCACTATTGGTCATAGGTACAGAATCGCCATTCGTTTCTTCATCAGTAATAGTGTTCAAAGCCACCGCCGAAATTTGAAGTTTGTCTTTAAATTGTGATTGATCTTTCAAATAAGCAACCAGAACAAAATTAATTATTTATTTCCGATTCGCCCATCGAATGTTGGCGGAAATCATCTTTAGCACAATATTCCTGCAGTTGTCATTAATTTCACAATTTGGTTGTTCACAAAAGAAAATGGTCATTAAGTCAAAATGCTTATTTTCTGTTTCAGCTAATTAGTTGTAATGGTACAAAAATAACGTGTCCATGGGGATTTTATGGGGATAACTGTGAACACATTGCCAAAGGTAATGTCTAAGTTCTTAGACTACGCTTGATCTGAAATACATGCATCCAGATTTCATTTGTTATTACATCAGCTGCGTACTCAATTATTTTTCATTACTTACAATCCATCGGGAAAATTCTGTAATGTAACCTATAACTGTAACTTTGTACCAAAAATCTCTTCGTAAGCATGACAAAGAAAAATGCTCGTTTGTAGTGACATACAAGCAACCACGAACTCTTGGAAAACTGTTTATTTATTCTTGTTGTAAGGGATATTATGCACATTAGATTTTATGTCATCATTGAAAATCTAACCTCTACTTGTTGAAATGTAATGATATTTGTTAAGTTAGAGATTAGGGTGATTGAAGAGTAACCAGTTACTATTCAATATAAAGCACTGGCACAGGGTTAAAGTTATGTTTACAATAATTGTGATGCTAATATGCAATGAACTAAATCAAAGAAGATCATAACGGTTATCCTATAAATCTTCTTGGACCTAATAAAGAAATTCATAATACTATATAATCTACATTTACGGAAATAACATTATTGGCACAATTGTAAGAATGCAATAGCCAATGCGGTGTCGATACCAGAAACGTAAATTAGTTGGACATGATGAAAGATTCAGCCCAAATCGTAGCTCGCTGCAAACCAAAGCTGCCACGTCACAGTAGGCTTCCTAATTTTCACGCATGTAGCCCCACTGAATAGTTTTAAGTTACAGACATTGAAATACGGATACCTTACACTTAGATCTACCAATCTGATCGTACACGTTCTGACATCTGACATATACGATTGTGATATCATGATTTGGGTCAGACTCAAAAGGTCACATATATGGAGCAAAACTCTTGTACCGACATTTCCGTTTTTTTTTTTGGTTATGGTGAAAATTCTCAAAAACTGTAAATCTGACCTTTTGAGTCTGGCCCTAACCTTGACATCGTCACATCCGCATATCACTTTAGAGGAATGGGTTGTACACGTAATAACAGGTGTGAATGAAAACCGTTATATAACTGACTTGAGGGATTGTTTTCAGAATTTTACATATTATTTCAGATTGTGAAGACGCGAATTCGAGAGGAATGACTTCACACCAAAGCGTCGTTACCAGAATAAAGCCATTAGAGGCACCAGCATTTGATGTTTGGTGCTGGCTTAAGATTCCGACCTCAGTGACGATACTAAACCGTTATCAGCAATGCTCTACGGAAGATTTCAATCGAACCCTTCAAGAATACGAACAAGGATTTGGCATCGTTCCATGGGATAATTGGTTGGGTTTTGACAAAACTCTACAAGTTATAAACAGTCAAAAATCCCTTAAACTTCATGTTCATTTTACTGCTAACGATTGGAAGAAATGTTCCATATATTATAACGACTTCAATTTGGGGAACGCCTCAACCCAATACCGATTCCAAACTACCAGTAATTATGAGACCGATAGTCGACCGACATGTGGTGACTCCATAACAGGGTCGAATAATACCCTGGATCTGAGAGGTCGACCATTTTCTACGTATGATCAAGATGAAACCTCTAATGGTTGTGCTGCACAATTCGGTGGTGGATGGTGGTTTGCAGATCATCCCAACTGTACGGATGGCTTTTTAACTGCTAAGGAATATTCTGAAAACTTTTGGAAGAATTCCTTTTGGGGGCCAAATATGAAGGTAATTTCTATGAAACTCGTCTATGGCGTATAACGATCTAAGAAATGTGACGTGTCAGTATTCAGATATTACCACATTATCCTTAATAAAGCAATCGTTACCATTGGTGACCACAATATTTTCTTTATGTACATGGAGTGCTTTTGTTTATTTGTAGAACAAATTATGAATTATTTTATGACGGGTCATTTTCAAGACCGCATCACTAGTTAACGTGAAAAGAAAAATATCTAAGCAAGTGTACTTTATCTCCGCTTTTGCATTGTTCGTGCCCACCAAATTGTCACCATCTATCCTGCTGAAAGTTCGTTCAAATTAAAGGAAGAAATTAGTTTTCTACTATTCTATATCGCTCTGCATCTGCATATTGTAACAGTGGGAATAATGCCTAATATTTAGTTCGTCTTTCCGTTACAATATATTCCAAGATGCAACCTTTGATCTTGTAACAAATGTTATAGTACTAATCGATCAAAAGATGTTAAGGTAACTAGTAACAACGTTTTAACCTACTCAAACGGATCTGAATAAATTTCAAAACGACTTTGATTTGAATATAAAGCTATTTGATAAAAAGCCTTATTAAAATCAAATAGAATATTCATCTTAACAGTTAATTAGGTAGTTATGCATTAAACATAACTTTTATATCTAAACGTCTCCAATTCACTGAATTTTGATAATATAGATGAAGTAAATTATTTACTCAACGCGAAACCTAATCGAAACTAACGGTTAATTAACAATAATAACTGGGATAGTCTACGGCGTGTTGACACTATCAACATGTTTCCAACAATCTGTTCCTGAAATTTTGGCGTTTTAGTTGATATGTTAAAGAATTGGGGTTTGTTTTGCTGTCAATGGACCTTCCTGGATCAAAAATTTCTCAATTCAAACTTCCCTCTTTGTCAGTTATAGACTAGAAGTATATTTATTTATTCATTGTAAATCGGGATATTTTATTCATTGTCTAAATTTTGATTTTTCTGTTATATTTTCAGAGGCTTACATCAAAACACTTAATATCGATATAAGGGGTATAGATTTTAAATCCCAACAATAGGCTGGGTATATTATTCCATCTGGGTAAAATTAAGCTCACGTTTTATATTTATATCGGTTTACAATTTATCAGTCTTTCATATCCGATAAAAAAAATTCATCACTTTCACAGTATGGTCATCTTCCCAATATCAAGGTATTACGAACTTCGTCTTATACCTTGATTGTCATAGCCACCTTTCTAGTATAGTTTGTCAAGGGCCATGATTGGCTGTATTCGTATTAGGATGATTTATTGGGCACCCATTTACAGCTGGGTATACTGGAATAATGAGGAAAGACGACTTATTCAGTACCCATTTAAAACTGGGTAGACTGGAATAATGAGGAAAGATAATCGTACATTCATATATTTTGTGATGATCTGAGTACTAAATGCAATCCTTAAGCGACATTTGGATTTCGGGATAGGTAGGGTTTAATTCTCCCAAAGGTACAGGACTAGGATGGAACAAATACCTTAACTAACGGAACAACTTTATGGTATACTACTTCTGAGTTGTACAAAACGTTTCTACAATTTACATTGTCATCAGTAGATGAAAGTAAATGGAAATGCATTAATTATTCAGCGCACATTATTTTACTAAATCTTATTTAAATTTAGTCGAGCGGTGCTGGTGATTAGAGGATTGATTTGATCGTGTTCGTTATTCAAAATGATGTGGATTATCTCCCTTAAATGGTATTGGCAAAGAAAACGTGAAGTAACAAACCACGTGTTAGTTAAATGCAGTATAACAAATTATATAAACCTTATATATCCAAATAACACAATAACAACCTCTGATTTCAGTAAAATATACAATCCCTAAACAAACAGGAATGATAACCATTCATCTTATTTGATTTTTGACAAAGTCTAAATTAGAGTAATAAGTTGTATTAACTTGAGTCTTTCCAGTTTTTGTTTCTTGTTCAATCTTGTCAAATAACCACGATTCTAAACAGTCCAATACTATAGGCTTAAAGTCTTCATGAAACTTATTACAAAATAAATGTGGTGCCTTGGTAAGTAATGACAACTCCTTTATACCAAATATACATATGTCGTGTGCGAATTTACCACTACATGATGGAAAGGCGTGCTTCCACAGTTTAATCCGGACAATAGTGTTTCTCAATGACTTTGCTGAACCTGTAAGAAAAATAAATAAACCAAGCACAAACGATTCGAACCGCAAAATGTAACTCGACATATTGGAGAAACCTTGATAGTAAACAACACAATGGTTAAAGGTTGTCTTAATTTAAACAATTATAAACAGTTTTTTCTATTATACAGCTCTTGAGATGTACTGAATAGGCGAAAGAAGCATTCCACCCAGTTAAATGTGGAAATGAAATGAAATGAGCTTTACGTCCTACTTTGCTGCATTATGTGGAGCTAAATGTGGAATTTACCAATCATATCATCATTTAGTAGTTAGTTGATCAAATAGACTGTCACAAGTTTATTTCCCTGACAAAAAAAAAACGTACATTATGCGCACAAAGTTGTCTCGGTCAAAATAAAATATTCCACAATGCTCACACCTTGCACGTTATTTCAAGATTAAGCTATCAGTTTTTGCTTGGCGTTATTCACAAATGCTTAGACCTTTGTAAATCGCCACCACAAGTCACTGTTGACTCTTGGTGGTCATCGTTGTGTTTTCTTCGACCAACAGCCGAGGTGGAAGAGCAGCTAAATGTTTGACATTAGTGGACTTTTGCGATTAATTTTAGTGCATAAACATTCTGCTAGGTGTCGTAGTAAACTGGAGTCAAGTGAAGTCAGAGTTCATCAGCTTAGCCGACCTAACCGCTGTTTTTTCCGCCATGCTGGTCACGGTAATCACACCGATTTGCTTACAGGTCTACAAACACTGGTAGTCCTTAATGGTTGAAGTCAATCAATGAGGCGAATCTTAACAAGTATTCGCTCCTGTCGAGCTCAGTTGCAAACTTCTCCCAGTATGCCGTTGGAACCGATGTGGGCCCAATCCCACTCTGTAAAAGACACATTCTCGAATTGAATACTTACCGTTGTACGAGCCAGGTATTTTTAAATGTTTACTGAAATATATTGAGTTGTAGAAAGTTTCATGTGGATGTAAAGCCGGTTTCAATCGTTCAGCAAACTCCAATGCCTCTGGTGCAGTTCTAAGAAATTCGATGAACTTCCGGTTAGCCACAATATGCTGCGAGCCTTTCATAAACGTAAATCCAGTTACGTTACCTATTCTCGACATTCGGTACTTCCACATAACGGATCTGTAACAAAACAAATATCGTATAAATAAATTCTGAAACCAATTTCTTCACAATATCAAGCTATTTAGAACTTTACTGCAAAAACCATCTTTCTTGTATTACAAAAGCTTGTAAATGTAGCCATTTAATTAGATTGTATGCTAGCGAATACAGCCAATCATAGCCTCGATTACACGCGAAGCAAAATTGTTTACAGTTTTTGTGTCGAGGGCACTGATTGGCTGTATTCGCTAGCGGACAATCAAATAACAAGTTTTACAAGAAAGGTCGTTATTGCAGTGACTTGACTGATTAATTTCATAGTTCAAGGGAGGTAACTGATATATAATATTGCTATATTGTTTAACAGTTTAAGTCATATTATGATTACCAAGCAAATTTGGGTAAATATTTGACTGGGTTTATCAATTCATCAAATAGCTACGAAACCGGATTCACAGGTAAGTTACAAATACATATTCCGTTCTCAATATAAAAAAAACTGTTGATATCAGCAAGCGGATACCGACAGCTCCACTGTATTGATATTTTGGAATGCTCATTATGTCGGTTAAAAATTAACCGATGGCTCTGTTGACAAATTGTCCCAGTAGTAAGGTAGGACATTCTCAATATGACAGAATGGCTACCCTGCGACTGGGTTTGTCAACTCGGCACCCATTTCGGGAAGAGTCCACATAACACAATATTTAGTTCAACACCGTTACGCAAAACTGTCAAGCTTTAATATTGTTATGAAAGAATTACCCGAAAGGAAATCCTACGACTAAGCTAGCACCGTTAAATGCTTTCAATATAGTAACCAGTTCCAAATTTGTCTTCAACGGAAACTCGGAACCGGCTAGATTGATGAAGTATTTCCAGTCGAATTTCAATGCATCGTCCATACAATTTAAATCTGCTTGAAACACAGAATATTGTCCCCATGTTACCTTCACTAAACGGGAAGTTACATGTACATTATCAAAACAATTTGTTATATCAGACACAGCTTTCAGTAGAGATTTGGGAGCTTTGGCATCAACGTGTATAAAGTAGAAGTTACTCGGTCGATAAATAGCTCTTAAAAGTCTTTCCAACAACTCTATTTCTTCGTGCATCAAAATTCCAAACGCTATAGGAAAATCCCGTTCTTCCTGCGTCACTTCCGTTATAAATCCCCTACTCTGTATATACTTGTCACAAGAAGTAGTAACATTAATGTAAAATTCGGGACTAAGTGGAATTTTATCGTAATCTATGAGACTTGACTCTATCCTTTGAGTTTCGTCTTGGTCTTGTGAAATTAGTGGTTCACATTTAATTCCTATATCTGTCCGACTTGTTAAAACTCCATCCTTCTTCCTTTGATAGACACTGCTGCCATACACTGGTATAACAGACAAAATATCTGGACTTAGACTTTTTTGCTGAGTTTTATCCGGATCATCTTCGTTTTGTTTATCTAGTGTTGTCTGCGGTGTCAGTGTAGTAAATTTTATCAATTTACTTTGAGGCAATGGGTAGTCATCCGTTGCTGTTAAGAAGGTGACGACTCTGTCTAAATGACGTGGCAATTCTTTCAACCAAGATTGCTTTACTGGTCCTTCTGATTTTAAGTAATTCGTTAACACTATGATTAGGTAAAATAACATAACACAGAAAGCTATTTTAAGGAACCTCGACATTTAAACACTATGGGTCTCGTCTATCAAATTTAAAACGTTACACATAGTGACATAGAAGAGCTTTGAATATTTTCCAGAAGTCTTTTTAAGCTGGAAATCAATGGCTTCAATATAGATGATAGAAATAGTAACACACGCCCACGATACAGCAGTTCACAAATATTTGTTATTAGATTTATCGTGAGCACAGACAGAGACGGTAAGCTGTGAATACTATTCAATTAGATTAGCTGAAAAATTTTCGTTTCTGAGACCAATGTACGATCGACCTCCGAAAATTACGAACCATGGACTTTAAATCCGGATGCTGGTCACTGGGCATTATTTCTTTTCTTAGTTTGGTATGAGAAAAATATGTATTTGCTAAAAAAAAACTCAACATATGTCGCTCGTAACAAACAATCAAACAATATGTTGTCTTTATCGATATAGTTTTCTTACGTAAAGAAATGTTAAACCCTTTATAGATTTGTTCTCAATCTGTGCCGTATCCACTTTAACATTGTAATAGTTTATGGAATGTGCAATGAAGGAAATTTTGCCAAGACAGCTGCACTAGTTTACTTTTTTGGTAAGAGGCTGTTTATTGCCGGGCATATATCTAAATATTAATGATCGATTGAAGTCCAGGTTGAAATTATACCTAAATAAATATTATTCAAGAAATCAATTCAGATTTACCGCAATGATAAATTCATTGTATGATTATAATATCAGCAACAGAAATTTACTGTTGAATTTATCGTATTTAGATTTAGCACAAGTTATGTCTTTCTAAGGACATACGTTTCTTAGTTTCTTAGTTTTGTCCCACAATAGTACGTTAATTAGAAAACCTCCATATTCAAGGACGGGGAATCACAAGGGGGAGGGGGGGGGGGGGGGGGGGGCGAAATATCTAATTTGTAACTTAGTTATGAGATTTTTCTCCGAAAAACATGCCTTCGGGGTAACTCCCCTTTGGGAGTCCCTTGAACTTTTTTAAATTTGTCGTCAACTCGCTATTTCTTCAGTTGGCACGTTCTTATTTGTTGTGTTTGTTGAGCAGCTATGGCGCCAGGAAGGGTATGCTTACTCTTCCAGACACCGGGCACCACTTTTCATTATGAAATACTTACTCCCTTATGATTGATATACTTCTTCATATGAAAAGTTCATTAGCTGCTACCAATGTTTCGTCAAAATGTTGTTTTGGATTTCGGGTCTTGTGTTGCGGTTCGTTAGTACAATAGTAGACCAAGTTTATTTATTACAAAGATGAATTGTGCGATACCAAAAACTTAACAGACTAAATGTACTCTACTTACGATTTTTCTTTTGCACAATTCAACCAGAAATTGAAATAAAAATACAACATTATTTTTTCATCTTATTTGATTTTTGACAAAGATTTACGTAGTATTTCCAGTCGAATTTCAATGCATCGTCCATACAATTTAAATCTGCTTGCAGCAGTGAGTATAGTCCCCAGGTTACCTTCACTAAACGGGAAGTTACATGTACATTATCAAAACAATTTGTTATATCAGACACAGCTTTCAGTAGAATTTGGGAGCTTTGGCATCAACGTGTATAAAGTAGAAGTTACTCGGTCGATAAATAGCTCTTAAAAGTCTTTCCAACAACTCGATTTCTTCGTGCATCAAAATTCCAAACGCAATAGGAAATTCCCATTCTTCCTGCGTCACTTCCGTTATAAATCCCCTACTCTGTATATACTTGTCACAAGAAGTAGTTACATTAATGTAAAACTCGGGACTCAGTGGAATTTTATCGTAATCTTTCAGAGTTGACTCTATTCTTTGAGTTTCATCTTGGTCTGCAACACAATCGTAGTTAAAATGTTTCATACTGCAACACAATCGTAGTTAAAATATTTCATACTGCAACACAATCGTAGTTAAAATATTTCATACTGCAACACAATCGTAGTTAAAATATTTCATACTGCAACACAATCGTAGTTAAAATATTTCATACTGCAACACAATCGTAGTTAAAATATTTCATACTGCAACACAATCGTAGTTAAAATATTTCATACTGCAACACAATCGTAGTTAAAATATTTCATGCTGCAACACAATCGTAGTTAAAATATTTCATACTGCAACACAATCGTAGTTAAAATGTTTCATACTGCAACACAATCGTAGTTAAAATATTTCATACTGCAACACAATCGTAGATAAAATATTTCATACTGCAACACAATCGTAGATAAAATATTTCATACAGTAACACAATCGGAGTTAAAATATTTCATACTGCAACACAATCGTAGTTAAAATATTTCATACTGCAACACAATCGGAGTTAAAATATTTCATACAGTAACACAATCCTAGTTAAAATATTTCATACTGCAACACAATCGGAGTTAAAATGTTTCATACTGCAACACAATCGTAGTTAAAATATTTCATACTGCAACACAATCGGAGTTAAAATATTTCATACTGCAACACAATCGTAGTTAAAATATTTCATACAGTAACACAATCGTAATTAAAATATTTCATGCTGCAACACAATTGTAGTTAAAATATTTCATACAGCAACACAATCGTAGTTAAAATGTTTCATACTGCAACACAATCGTAGTTAAAATGTTTTATACTGCAACACAATCGTAGTTAAAATGTTTCATACTGCAACACAATCGTAGTTAAAATGTTTCATGCTGCAACACAATCGTAGTTAAAATGTTTTATACTGCAACACATTCGTAGTTAAAATGTTCCATACTGCAACACAATCGTAGTTAAAATGTTTCATACTGCAACACAATCGTAGTTAAAATGTTTCATACTGCAACACAATCGGAGTTAAAATATTTCATACAGTAACACAATCATAGTTAAAATATTTCATACAGTAACACAATCGTAGTTAAAATATTTCATACAGTAACACAATCGTAGTTAAAATGTTTCATACCGTAACACAATCGTAGTTAAAATATTTCATACAGTAACACAATCTTAGTTAAAATATTTCATACTGCAACACAATCGTAGTTAAAATATTTCATACTGCAACACAATCTTAGTTAAAATGTTTCATACAGTAATACAATCGTAGTTAAAATATTTCATACAGTAACACAATCGTAGTTAAAATATTTCATACTGCAACACAATCGTAGTTAAAATATTTCATACAGTAACACAATCGTAGTTAAAATATTTCATACAGTAACACAATCGTAGTTAAAATATTTCATACTGCAACACAATCGTAGTTAAAATATTTCATACTGCAACACAAGAAATTATAATCAAGGAAGGCTCAGGGACTAGTTATGTTAAAAAGTAGAAAAGAATCCGTAAAACGTATAGAATAAAACCTTTGCATTGCAAAAAATATCCTGACTACATCGGCACCGTCTTTCGTAGCGAACATGAATTGTAACCCTTTTCCAGGAACCATCCTGCGATAAGACAGCAAGGAAAGTTTAACAGGCTTTTTAATGTCCAGTTCTTCGATATATTTTACTAATCCTTGTCGCGCTTTCATGTATGAGAGTGATCGCCCTTTATATGAAGAAGGCTCCACCCAATCTTTCAACCTTAGCGAATAATAATTGAGTTTGTAGTCACATGACCACGAAATGCGTACGTCCAGATGTTCACCCAATGTATCTTTGTCGTTGTATAATATTTTAAACAATTGTCTGTTTTTTGCACTCAAGATGGACGACACCATCGAAATTTCTGATTGTAACTGTAGTAATTTACTTTCAAGTTCAAATATTGAATTGGACATTTCCCTTAGGAATGTTTTATAACTGAAGGTTTCATTTTTAACCGGATGAAAAGTAAGGTAATCTGAAAGCCTTGTGGTCTCTGTCCATTTACCACTGGTATCTTCATAGCTCTGAGAAAATTTTATCTTGTACTGAAAAAGGAAGGAAGAGCTTTATTTGACAAGGATAACAACTAAGGTTCACAGCTGGCCAAACCTTTTACCATTGCTCCTTTCCGGATTTTGCCAGGCCGATCGGGATCAGAATCCACAAGCAAATGACGTCATGTAAATAATCGACGCTCTAACCGACTGCCCTAAAAAACCTCCAAAATGTACAAGACATCCCAATCGTTTATTGAAAATGTTTTTTTTTTTTTTTCGCTACATCGAAATGTCAGATTGAAAATTGGCTATGCATAAAAGATAACATTTGTATTGCTTTAAAAAACTAATACATGTTGGTAAATTCTGTCAAATAAAAATAAAAATCCGTACAAGGAAGACAATTCCGTCGAGAGTAAATTGTGTGTTTTCTTCAGCATTCCTAATCGAACTTCCAAAGAACATTTAATCCTACCTCTTCAGAGCGTGTACAGGATAGTCCAAAATATTTAAAAATACACCTTCCCAATTCAGAATCTTCGTGAACACTGGCAGTTGAATTCAGACACGTTGCTAATTGTCCAGTTATTCCATTCAGAAGCTTCCGACTTAACAAGACCCCTGGTCCTCCCATACAATAAGGAGTATCTCCTTCTAAGCCTATATGACCAAATTCCTTCTGGGTACCAAGTCCAGGATGACCAAGATAAACCTTATCTTCAGCATTCATTCTGAACAATAAACTTTCTAGTTTCTTCAGGTTAATGTATATATCGTCATCAACTCTCATAAACCAATTAAAATGGTTGCCATAGAATTGATTAACATACCGCAACATGGCGAATGATTTACGTCGGGGAGGATATTCATCATCAGGAATACCCTTCAAAATAACCACCGGAAGTTCTCCGTTATATGGCTCTTCGCCACCGATAAAGAATATGACGTCACTGTAAAGGTCGGGAGTTAATACTCTATGAAGAGCTAGAGCACGAGATTCAATATGGCGTCTAGTTGTAAGAACACAAATCAACAACAGTTTAGTGGTTGCCCCATTGTGTAAAATATGTGGTGTCTGTAACCGATGATGATGGCTATTTGCAACAGTAAATGCACTAAGACAGGGTACGAATCTGACTTTCCATTGAGTTGATAAATAAGTATTTGAAATAAGAAAACCTGTGATCAATCCAATGATAACACAAAACACATAATCGTAAAGATTGCGGCTCCTTTTCGTATGAAAGCCCATACCTTGTGTCTTCTCTGAAATGAGAACAATAGCATTCATATATTAATAAATCATTGGAGAAGGGATGGTGTGCGTCTATCTACCAAAAATGTCAGACATTCGGATTTGTTCACCCGGATTCCCACTGTCAGTGTTGCTAGTCGAAAGTTGGAAATATATTCAGTCTTTCAGACTATACTGTATGGCGTTGACCGTATTCGTTAATGAAAGAACGAAGATTCACAGAACAAAACTGAACAGCTGATACCAGCAATACCATTTTTTTTAAAATGAAGTATCTGTTAGGAGGATCAATGAAATTTTCCCTACACCGAAATCCATTTCATTTGGAAACAATATACATATATCTTCATTTCAACTTTACTGATCGGCGATCTTAATATTTATTTCCTGATTGTTTTCCTGTACATTAAGGAGAATGATATTTTTCTATTCAAAATAATACAGGCAAAATGTATTGGTAGTAGTTCTTATAACCTTAATACGGACCATTCTTTTGTCAACAAACTCAAAGACAATTTCTAAATTTATACCGCTTCATGATATTGTTCATATGCACAAAAAGAACATTGTGATATTTTAAACAGGAAATACAATCTGGTGTGGCACGCGACAGTGTTCCATGTGTTTTAAATAATCATTGGAATTTCTGACAAAACAATGTAACACATACAGACTATATTAAACACTTTCTTGCAAGTCCAGCATTGATTAGATCTGCATTGTGACACAAAAATGTTCTAGTATTATATGTACTAACTAAATAATTTGAATAACCATTCATGTCAAAAAGAGTATATGTTTGGGTGCGAATTTTCCTAACAACATATTACTTATCAAAGAACAAGACAGTGGACGGCATGAAATGAAGCCGCAAATACTAAAAAATGTCTTAATAATAATCGGGTATTCCTCCTCGCACTTGCAACTTGTCTAAATTTGAATTTAACAAATCTGCATTGGTTAATCGCGTTATATCAGGATTTATTTGCCTTTGTAGATAGCAAGTAATTATATATGCGCCATTTTACGGATATAGCGATTGTTAAGTATTAATATTAAAGTCTAACTTAGTAATTATCCATAAATATGCAATTAACTATTGAAAAACTCTTAATATCAAGATTAAGCGTTTTTCAATAATTACCTAGTTTTATGAATTTTCCAGATTTTACAGGAATTCTGTTGTAACTTTATGACACCAGGTAAGCTAACTGATGAATATATGCTCATATTGACCATTCTTGAGAGCTTAAATTTTATGTTCATTCTAAGACGTAGTATCACTTTAAGGATATAACGATTTTTTAGTATGAATAGAATGGTCGTAATAAAGAATTGGTGAACAATGTTTGAAATTTCGACTGTTCTTGAAACGATATAGCCCAATGAAGTTCATAAATCAAGATAACTCTTATCTCATGTACAAAGTTACTTCTCAATTCCACGAAACCTTTATTTTATTCAACAATGGATGAATGAATTTAGTCACATTGTTTAGGTTTATTCAGTTGGTATGACTTTCCAATTCAATATATTATAACCTGTATTATTATTTAAACGTACTTTGTCGATTCGTGGTAACTTACACAAATCTAGGATTAAAATCGAAACGTGGTGCAAGTTATTCTATATTCAGATCGAAGGATTAAAGAACTTGTAGATAAAGATTATTAACTATTAACCTGTTATCTTAACTCCTGTTTCATCTTTCTTTGTTTTGTGTGAATTTTAATTAGTTCTATTTACATTAACATTCATCTGATCTGAAAATTGTAATGGCCTTTCGGCTTCTAATTTACCAATTTTATTCAATCCTCAATGTACAAATAATTAAAGAATATCTCAGAGTCCACTGTTATAAATAAGAACTGCAATCACTACACATACTATACACAAAGATCACTCAAACCATAGCGATCAACAGTTGTGAATCAGAATAACGGTCATAATGTTTCCCATGTAACTGAGTTGTGAGTTGTGTTCAGAACTCTTGACCAATTTCATTATTCACAACTATACACAACTGGCGATAGCTATGTTGTACCTATATATCTTACCTTAAATCCCTTATCTGTTTTTTTTTTCTTTCAAGATCCTTTTTGTGTATATAATTAAAACCGTTCAACAATGTATAATGGCGATTATAAAATGCATAGTATATATATCAAGTCTAGTTGAACCAGAAATAGTACTTATGGTACAGGAAATGCGTTGTAGACACCTTGTAAATGACATGCCTCGGCCTCGTCTGTGTTATTATTATTTAGAGAATGAAAAGGCAGCTATTCTCAACCAAACGCTATCACCTGATTCAGCTCTGCGACTGTGCTGCAAACTGTGTTGCAAATGTGAATACAGAAGTTAAAAAATTTGACGAATGCAAACAAATTAAGGATTTGCCGTTAAATATGTAATGAAGAACGCCAGATTCGGTTTTTGTCTTTCAGTTTAGCAGTGATCCTTTCATCCATAAACCTGGCCAAGTTTTGCTGCAAACGATCGCCTAGACACCCTTAGACATTCTTATTAACTGAAATTGGATGAACATTTGGTTATGTTTGTGGTAAAAGTCGTTGAAGGAAATAGACGAAACCGTTTAGGTATTATAAAAGTGGCAAGATTTTGTCAGACTGGGGGAAAATAGCCAAATATTTACAAAGCTAAATGCAACAAGTACGGACTGGACATACATACAGGAACTTGGCGAAGGCTGATGGTAAATGACAAGTCAACGTTTGCTTCAAGCGGATGCTGATATCGCAACCTAGGTAGTTGTTGGTAGATGACAAGTTAACGTTCGCTTCCAGTGGATGCTGATATCGCAACCTAGGTAGTTGTTGGTAGATGACAAGTTAACTTTCGCTTCAAGCGGATGCTGATATCACATACTTGGTAGTTGACTAGTCGTAATACTTATTAGATGGATTGGTTCTATTGGGTGATACTGTTGATTTGCTTGTTGGTAATTCGTAAGATCTGGTCGGGTAGAATGACATGGTGGTGAAACTGGATTGTGTTGTGTTAGATCCTCTGTCATCTTCATTCTTCCAAGTTGTGATCGTGGTGATGATTAGCAGTCGAATGATAGAGACTTGTAAGGGTACATGACGATTATTATACCAGAAAGTAATATAAATTATGAGACCACACGTGGCGATGATTAAAATTAATTAATAATAATTTGTTAATGAGCACTAATTGCATATATTATGGTGTATCATAACCTAATTTCTCGATTTTCTAGTGATTATACAAACTATTGTAACCAGCTATAAATATTGAGATTAGTCGTAGTGCTGTAAGTCCTGAAAGGTCGAATCGACATATTCATATGGCAACACCAATGAAACAAAGATCCCCTTGTCTTGTACTATTGTCTCACTCTTCAGTTTTTAACGCGAGGTTGCATCTGTGGGAAAATCGACTTTGGAAATCGAAATTTGAAATCAAAGTGTTCAACTTCAGCTACGGATAGCACTACTCAAAATAAAATCACGGGACGACTTATTATGTGTGATAACTGCAAGTCAGCATGGTTATTAAGATTGGGAAACCAGTTTAATTGTAAAACGGAACGTAAATGAGACCACGGTCTGAGTATTCAGATTCATAAAATACCTTTTGCACCTTTTAAAAGAGTTTCTTAAACACTCGCACCTTGTATATTAATTCTTAAAATATTTAAACTACTAAACTAAGATTACAAGTAACATGTTGTTTGTTGTTTCTAAGTTAAAAATTTTGAAAAAACATGCGATTGTATTGGATTTTGGGTTTAGTTTTGCGGTCTAGATTGTTAGTAGATGGTTACTTATTTGAAAGTAATACACCCCTCCAATTTTGGCTCCGCAATGTTATTGTGTATCTGCATTGTGCACGTGAAATAACACAGGGTATATTTGTATGTATTTATTCAATTAATTGTAATAACAAATTGTTGATTAGAATATGTAATTTAAAAAAAATAGAATGAAATAAGCAGGGGGTTGGAATTACTCATCAGTCTAGTTTTGGGGTATAAATATCTCGAGCTCGAGTCCACGAAAGGATTGCTTATACCAATACCATCATAATCAACGCAGCTTCAAATAAGGTAAGATTGTCTTGTGGCAAGTCTTCTTATTTAATTTCATGTTGTTCAAAAGCTGTGTAAGTGGTAAAATGTCTATAGCTTAGTGGATGCACAAACGTGGTAATTTTTATAGCTTAGTAGTCTGTTCTGAGTTGCTGATATTAACTAGTTTAAACCCCACTGATAAGACGGGCGATAATAAATGGTAATTCTCTTAGTTTAATCTAACAACGCTTTCAAAATGTTCATCATTTATTCATAGAAGGCAAATAGAGTTTCTCATGCCAGTGGATAAGACTAACACAAAGTCAGAACTCTAATTAAAGTGAAAATTCTCTTTTAATATGAACTGAAACCATGGTAAGCAGTAGCTACACATATCTTTTTAACGAATGTATTGTTTATCCGCTTATATAAATAAAAATATAAAATCCATGCAAGCAAGTTAAATTCCGTTAATCAAATTCTCGTTCAAAGTATGGCAAAATCGAGTGTATAACTTGTGTAGTAGTGAACTCCTCCAAAGAGAAGTACCATCAGGTAGTCTTGCTGGTATTAGCATATTTCTTAATATCACTTATAATATCTTAGATCAAAATGCTTGGTTACAAAGTTTTAACAGTTGTTATGCTGGTTCTAATCGTTCTCTCGGGTCTCGGTAATGGTGCTAGCATCAATGACAACAGAATATCGGTAAGTATACTAAAAATTTGTAAAAGCAAAACAATTCCAGTAACAAAAAACTCGTCCAAACCCTGACAAAATCGGGAGCAGTAAAAGAGTCCTCAAACGCTTCAAGAACGACGCCCGCATCAAATAACCACGAAATAAATGTGAGTTGATTTAAATCGATAAGTACAGGCATCCGAATCTCCAGGCCCCTACAGAAAATTGAATCCAATGCATTATTCACATATCATTGTATAAAAATATTGAACTGAACTTAAAACCTACATATATAACCTGTATATATTTTAATTGCGTTACAGTTGTATGAACAAATATCAATCAATATGCGATAAACCTTTTTTATAGAGTGTTTAAATATACTCTTTGTACTCTTTTAACATATAATACAATGTATCAACAATTTTAATTTGACTCAAATAGTTGTGGTTCACTGTACCCACAAAGGCGGCTACCTGTACCTCTTACTTAATTAGTGTCGTTGTTCTAAACAAACTTTTCAGAAATACTTACTTATAATTGATTTACTTCCTCATGTGAAAAGTTCATTAGTTGTTACCGATGTATTGCCAACATGTTGTTTTGATTTCTGTTTACTTTTTGCTATTCGAATCGTTAGTACTTGATTTATTTATTGTTAAACTATGTCATCTAATGGGGTTTTGTTTTTCAGTGTGTCAAACAGTTTTGTAACCAAGATGGTCCAAAATGTTGTGGTCATCGATATTGTCGGTGTTTTACTGGTGGTACCGACTGTAGAGTAGGTTATTGTGATACCCACAGTCCATATTACTACTATCAATATTATCAAAAAAAGTAACGTGAGTAACCACTCAAATCTTACTTAATATTATCAAATGTTATGTATTATATTGACCGAAACGGCAAAACAGTCGGTGATTGTCAAAGCGACAACAGATGCCCATAACATCTCAAAATACGACGAGTTACTTCCCTTGAAATGAACCGCATGTACTTGTTATAATTTTGTTTTCCACTGACATTGATTTGAGGTCTACTCTGAAGTTTAGTGATTTTGGGACAACAACAAAAGTTGCTTATAACATCTCAAAATACGATAACCTAAAAGAATATAGAAAAATAATTGGCAGATTATATCCATAAGTTACTTCACTTGAAATGGAACTGCTTGTATTCTCTCCGCACGCGGACACATCATTGGGCTCAACAATATCCAGAACTGGTTAACTGGTGATTAGCCATAACCCAATGAAAATGACATACTTGTCCTTTGTTCTCTGGCAACAAGAACATATCATTGATGGACCATAGACCCTTGAAGTTCTGTCAAAATTAGAACAATTTGAAGAAAAAATGTCATCGTATATAAAATCAGAGAAAGCTAACAGGCAGAAATGTTAACAAAGCTGTTTATCTGTTCGTGAAAGACTTCTGCCCTACTTTTTTGGTGTTTGTGTTTGTAAGGGCTGCTTACTGCTATTACACTGCAGTTCCGCACAGAAAATCAGTTGACTCTTAAAATTTACCATAAAATCATCACTCCTCTGTACGCTCACTGACATTTCAGCGATTTGAACAACGCTTATAACAACGAACCTAATACGATGACCTAATTGAATATGGTACAGCAATTGGTACATTACATCCACAAGTTACTTCCCTTGAAACTGAACCACTTAATATGACAGAATAGAATTGAACAATTTTCATAACTGAGTAATATTAGTAATATTGACACCATGATAACGTGTCACTTAACATAATTTGTTAAATTTCCACAATATTGATATTTTGTAGGTTGTGAAGAAGAACGCATCAATTGTTTTTTATTTTGCTTGTTCATTATCATTAGAAATATAAAATCAATAAATTTTCATATTTTAATTTAACTCCAATACAATTCATTTTCATTCGGGTTCATTCCGTAAGGGGGGGTTCGTTCAAGGCTTTGATTGAGACGACACCTTTGCCTCTATCAACTGTGGGTCATGTTATTGCTGATGTAGAGTGAGGGTCTGGCACGACATAGGAGAAACGGTTAGTCGTTCTTGAACAATAGAAAGCGCTATGGTTTACAGGCTGTGCAAGATCCCTCCACAGTTGGATGTCGTAAGTTTACAAGTATACCGATAAACTCCCTTCATTGCATGACCCGCTTTAATTCACCACTTCAAGTACAAACTGTTGTGAAATACAAACACAGTTTATAATAGAAACCTTTTATACTGACTTCTTATTGCAAATTAATATGGAGAACCGACTACAGTCCGTGCAAGAAAGTGTTATCTTGTAAGATGAGTTCAGTTTTATGATCACAATAAAAAAATGATTCGATAACTTATAAATCGTTTTGCAGTATTTGATTATCTGGTAAATCTCTTTAGAAGTAAGTAATTTCAATCAAATTGATGTATCGTAATGCTCAAATACGGAGTTTCTTCTTGTGGCCTTGACCAGTGTTTCTATAGGAGATTATCTCTTTAAACACTTTTTACCAGTTACCTCTTAAAATGACCATTTATTTATCGATGGACTTATCCAATGTCATAACCAAGAATTGAAGTCCACTAATGCATACAATCTCTTATCATTTCAATTTATAATTCCTGTTTGAAATGACTTTGTATTAAAAACAAATTATTGTGTAGAACTGCCTATAATAGAATATATTCATTGTTAAGATAGTGTTCAATACATCAATTGTAGAGCGATATAGAAATACCACTGTTAAAATAGTGCTCAATACATCAATTATAGAGTGATATAGAAATACCACTGTTAAGATAGTGTTCAATACATCAAGTGTAGAGCGATATAGAAATACCACTGTTAAAATAGTGTTCAGTACATCAATTATAGATAGTTATAGAAATACCAGTGTTAAAATAGTACTCAATACATCAATAGTAGAGTGATATAGAAATACCACTGTTAAAATAGTACTCAATACATCATTTATAGAGCGATATAGAAATCCCAGTGTTAAAATAGTGCTCAATACATCAATTGTAGAGCGATATAGAAATACCAGTGTTAAAATAGTGTTCAATACATCAATTGTAGAGTGATATAGATCAATTTTCTGAAGAGAACGTGAGACTCTTGAGTAACAACATCTTTCAAGTTCAGGATTAGATTTTAGACAAATTAAAACAGATCCCGAACTTCGGACAACTGGCCTAGTATTTTAGATTTTAGATGAAAAGTGTGCATTCAATTAAAAACATAGGTACACCGCACACGTGTCTAGGTTTTCAATATTGCGTGGGCTTGGCGTAGTGATAACGCACACTCGTGGTATCCAAAAAATACTTTAATGATATTTACATTGTCTTTCCAAGTATTTCAGTATTTCCAAATCAATATTCCAAATTCTTTTACATGATCAGTTCGACTCGATTTGCTCAGACATGAAGACAGCTGTCACAATGCCGTCTGGTTTTTCTTCAGTATTTGATAACATATTAATATTATATAATTAACAATATTTATAACGTCAGTTTAGATATTCGTCTAATTTGCAAAAGGTACCTGTAAACTGCACAGTATATACAAAATAAGTTATTGGGAAAACAAACTGTGTCAGGGATAAGGTAAGAATATATGCACTTTCTATATTAACAAGGGATAATATGATATAATTATTCAAGAGCACGTGCACGTTCTTATTGCGAACGTTGGGATGCAATAACTTCCAACAAAATACGATTACCAGACATTGTCATTGGTTTAATATGGAATATATGCTATATACAGTACTGGCCAATTTAATAGCAATTTTGTATAGAGTAGGCCCATAGTTTGCTATTATGTCTCAATTGTCAAAATCTGCTTCAAAATTACAACTTAATTTTAATTTTAACTATTTTGACATTTATAGTGTGTGTTCTGATAGAATGAGCTAACTGGTAGAAATAATGTCACGTTATGTTAAGATTATTGGTTGTGTCTTAATTCTGTACCAATTAATTGTCTTAATAACATATTACAACAAATCAGTAACTTTACACAAACAGTATTCGTTAGATCAATTTACTGATGTGATCGACAAGCAGGAAACAATACCAAAAGCAACAGTTCTCCAGAAGAACTACATAAATTCTCAACGAAAAATAATTGGAAATGCTAGCCCAGCCAAACAGAATAAACATAATGGAGTAAAAGAGGATCGAAAGAAAGCTAAACGTCAACCGCCGCTTAAAGTCAAAATGGGTCAAAAGAAAACTAAACGTCAACCACAGAAAGCCAAAATGGGGAAAAAGATAGCTAAACATCAGCCACAAAAAGCCAAAATGGGGCAAAAGAAAGCTAAACGTCAACCAACTCTGCGTCCAGATATTTTGTCTGTTATACCAGTCTATGGCAGCAGTGTCTATCAAAGGAAGAAGGATGGAGTTTTAACAAGTCGGACAGACATGGGAATTAAATGTGAACCACTTATTTCACAAGACCAAGATGAAACACAAAGAATAGAGTCAACTCTGAAAGATTACGATAAAATTCCACTTAGTCCCGAGTTTTACATTAATGTAACTACTTCTTGTGACAAGTATATACAGAGTAGGGGATTTATAACGGAAGTGACGCAGGAAGAAAGGGATTTTCCTATAGCGTTTGGAATTTTGATGCACGAAGAAATCGAGTTGTTGGAAAGACTTTTAAGAGCTATTTATCGACCGAGTAACTTCTACTTTGTACACGTTGATGCCAAAGCTCCCAAATCTCTACTGAAAGCTGTGTCTGATATAACGAATTGTTTTGATAATGTACATGTAACTTCCCGTGTAGTGAAGGTAACATGGGGACAATATTCTGTGTTTCAAGCAGATTTAAATTGTATGGACGATGCATTGAAATTCGACTGGAAATACTACATAAATCTAGCTGGTTCTGAGTTTCCGTTGAAGACCAATTTAGAAATGGTTACTATATTGAAAGCATTTAACGGTGCTAGCTCAATTACAGGTGGTCCTTTCAGGTATTATAACCATTTACTAGACTTTCAACCATCTCCAACTTACTGCCTTGTCTCGGATTTTTAAATGTCAAAACTTCCCTCTCACCTAGACTCGACTTTCCGTGGCAGTGGAATAGCTCAGTCTATAACGATTCTTTATACGTCAATAGTTCCCTCAAGCGTTAGTCTGTAAAACTTCTGTAGTGTGGCAGTGCAATAACTCCGTCTATAGTGATTTGATTGTTTTCATCTGGGCTCTAATCCCTCTCAATGTAAGACAAATTATGATTCCACTGGTAGTGCTTCCGTTAGTCAACTTCGTATCACCTACGACTGACTATTTATTGATTTAACTGAACTAAACTGCCAGTCGTGGATCTTAAGATCATCATGTTTCAGCCATCTGATTGGTCCAGGATCTCATTTCCAATTAAACTTTAATAGTAATAGTAATGATCAGAATACATGATGTTTTGAAATATCTTTTTCAATCATTCAGAGATTTTTTTTTTTTCGTTTTAGACCGCAAATGTGGAAGAACCGAATGTCGAAAGTAGGTAATATCACTGGATTTACGGTTATGAAAGGCTCGCAGCATATTGTTGCTAACCGGAAGTTCATCGAATTTCTTAGAACTGCACCAGAGGCTTTGGAGTTTGCTGAACGATTGAAACCGGCTTTACATCCACATGAAACTTTCTACAACTCAATATATTTCAGTAAACATTTAAAAATACCTGGCTCTTACAACGGTGAGTACAATTTATAGATTTGCTGTATTTCGGTGCGTTTGAATTGTGATCATAAATCGTCTAGCACAGCGGCATTAGGTTACTTGGATTATGATTAATCCTTTCATATTCAATTAATGATTTCAATCTGTAATTGTTTTCCTGCTTTCAGGTACCGCAAAAATGATATCAGAAAACGATGGCATGGCCCGATACAAATTGTGGTCTTCTCACAGAAAGTCTTGTAGTGGTAAATTCGTACACGCCATATGTATATTTGGTATAAAGGAGTTGTCATTACTTACCAAGGCACCACATTTGTTTTGTAATAAGTTTCATGACGACTTTATGCCTATAGTATTAGACTGTTTAGAATCGTGGTTATTTGACAAGATTGAACAAGAAACAAAAACTGGAAAGACTCAAGTTAATACAACTTATTACTCTAATTTAGACTTTGTCAAAAATCAAATAAGATATTTTATTTCAATATTCTAGTTTCATTCTAAAATCCAAGTCAATTTGTGGGGCTTTATTTGATGTCTGGACAATCTCAACTATTCAAATTTTTTTCATTTATATATTTTATGTTTATAAACTTAAAGTGGTCTTATTACTTCATATGCTTTCGTTTCCCTAAATACGAAACCATTGCTTCTGTTTTATGCTGACGTAATTATTATGTGTGCTAGCTCTAAAAGTTTCAGCATATCAATTTACGATTTTGTGACGAGGATAACCTCATTACCCGACACCACATTTGTTTACGTTATTACTTGGCAATTTACATAATTTGTAGTACATGTCTGTTCAAATCAACAGTTTTATTATTAATTTGGCTTAACTCCCTTTGCTAATAATTTTAGCACCAGAAATTTTTTTTTTTCATTTTGCCAAATTTAATGATTGGAAAACTTTTATTGAGCCATTCACGTCACATATCGTTCAAAAGAGAATTAATAAGGAGAGGGTACTATAGGCGAAAGCCTATTCCCCAATCCTATTGGGTAAATAAATATTGTTTATACAAAAAAGAGAATAAAGAGTATATTCTAATTAAGAATACATTAGAAGTTAGAATTTGATTCGGAAAAAAAACATAATTCATTTTTTATGCATTACTGTTATATATTGTTGGAAAAAGGGCATTAAGAAAATAAATAATAAACTAAAGAATGGTACAGTTGCAATTTTTTTTCAACCAATATCAGAATCTACAATAGTGCATAAATTATAGAGTGATATACAAATACCACTGTTAAAATAGTGCTCGATACATCAATTGTAGAGAGATAGAAATACCACTGTTAAAATAGTGCTCAATACATCAATTATAGAGCGATACAAAAATAACCACTGTTGAAATAATGCTCAGGTCATTACATATAGCCAATGCACAATTTGCGTTTTTTTATACGCCCATATAAAATGGGGTCGTAATAGGCCCAATTCCTGACCCTGACAGATTTTTACGAAACTTTGCCCCAAAAAGTTGAATATTTCATACTGGTAATTGTTACACCAAATATTTCGATTTAAAATCAAAGGTGCCAGTGGGCGTATATTACCTTGCCTAGCAAGCTATCTTGTATATGGTGAGAGGTGCAGTGTGGGTAACGTTTGTTTACTCTTTATCGAATTCCCTCAGGATCTTAAACGTGCTGCAGACAGGACCCTGGTTAATCGTTTCATTCGAATTGTCAGCCCTCTTCACCATAGGCCTACCACTGACAAGGGGGAACCCAACCTGAAACCAATAAGGTCAAAACCGGTCTGAATCGGAATTCGAACCCGGAACAAGCATAATTTATAATGTGACTTAATGTGAAAAAAGCGCAAAGTGGCAAAACGGGCTCGTGCAAAAATTTGAAGTGTAGAAACATCCAAGGTCGAAATGGGTTAGGTGCGAATTAGTGAATTTATCGCTCACAAAGAACAATTGTGGGATACCAAAACCTTAACATACTTTCATTTGACTCTACTTTGGATTTTGATGTCGCACAATTCCACCAGAAATTGAAAAAATAACGTTATTTTGTTATCTTATTTTTGACAAAGTCTAAATTAGAGTAATAAGTTGTATTAACTTGAGTCTTTCCAGTTTTTGTTTCTTGTTCAATCTTGTCAAATAACCACGATTCTAAACAGTCTAATACTATAGGCTTAAAGTCTTCATGAAACTTATTACAAAATAAATGTGGTGCCTTGGTAAGTAATGACAACTCCTTTATACCAAATATACATATGGCGTGTACGAATTTACCACTACATGACTGAGTTCCAGAATACCACAATTTGTATCGGGCCATGCCATCGATTTCTGATATCATTTTTGCGGAACCTGAAAGCAGGAAAACAATTACAGATTCAAAGTATTAATTCGCTATGAAATTTAGAAAATGAATTGGCACAGAATTAACACACAAGCAATGAGACTCATTATAAATATTAAAAAATGAATTTAAAATTATAAGATCGTTTGTTTCAAGCAATATAAATGATATTCATTGTGAGAAAAACCCGCAGGGTATATGGTAAATACCTATAATAGGTACAAACTTATTCAATATAAAGAGATTTTAAAGAGACGATATGAGTAAACGGTAACCTACAGTCTCAAATACTGTAGGTTTTATTCACCTCAAAATAGGTAGGAATTTTAGTTTGTAATATTACGGTTAAGTAATGTTACGAAAGCACAGGCATGCAGGCTTAACATCTAGTGAGAGAGTATTGTTTGTGCAGTTAGGTGAGAGGTAGGGTTAAGGTTTGGATCGCTATACCTTATATTTCATATAATGCAATACTTTACAATTGTAAATGGGTTTGTATAATGGTTGTTAATATGGTGTTCCATAAGTGTGAGTAGAAGTGGCGATATAACACAATCCCTATAGATATGTCTCGGCAGCTGAATAAAGACTGTAGAGATGGCCTCAGCAGCTGGATAGATACTGTAGAGATTGATGCTAGATCGAGGTCTGAATAAAGACTATAGAGATTGGTGATAGACAGAGGTCTTAAGGATGCACGGGAGACAGAATTACTGGAACAGCTTCTCCAAACCAACTCACGAGTAGTTTCAAACGTACAATCCTCCAAACATTCGGGCGTAAATTGTCCTTCTTCAATTGATAGATTAGATGAGATGATCACTTGTCTTTAAAAACATTCTGTAGCGATTGTGTTTTTTGAATGAAAAGATATTTCGGCATCGCTCCCGATTTATATCAGATTAAAGCTAAATTGGGAGCTTCAGTGGCTAAGTGAGTAAGACGCTTGCTCGCTATTCTGAAAGTTCAGGGTTCAATCTCGACATGGGTCGAGATGATGCCTTCGGATTTTTCAACCTGGTTTACCCCTGTCAGTGATGCAGCGTCTAGTCGTTCCAATTGGAGAATACGTCCCGCGTGCTACAGACTATGCACGTTGAAGATCCATCGACAGTTGGAAATCGAAAACGAGTAGCCTTATGCCACTGTCTTGGCAAAATGTCCCTCCTAGCACACTGATGGCGTTGTCTGTCTTCATTAGCCCAGTTATGTGCAGAAATGTAGGACGCAAAACCGCATTCATGTCTTATATTTTTCATATTTAGTTGTTATGTTTCGATCTTCAGTATTTGGGTAAATCATTTCTTTATATATACTTACATTACACCCCCGGCTCAACATATAAACGATATTATTTCCATATGGCGTGAAAAAAAAACGATCTTATAATTATAATATTTCGTATTTTACATATTAACAGTAAGTGTTACATGAGCTCTGGTGGACACAATGTCCCGTTTTGTTAAGATCATTACTTGTGTGTTAATTTTGTACCAACTTGTTTTTTTTGTATTGTATTATAATAAATCAGAGACTTTACACGTTGATGCCATACCAAAAGCGATAGTTGTACACAGGAACTACATCAAACCTAAAAGAAATTTAATCGAGAACGCTAACCAAGTATTTATACGCAAAAAAAAGCAATATAAGAGATATAAAGAACAGCGAAAGAAAACTAAAAGTCAACCACAGAAAGCTAAATATCAACCATCTCTGCGTCCAGATATTTTGTCTGTTATACCAGTGCATGGCAGCAGTGTCTATCAAAGGAAGAAGGATGGAGTTTTAACAAGTCGGACAGATATAGGAATTAAATGTGAACCACTAATTTCACAAGACCAAGATGAAACTCAAAGAATAGAGTCAAGTCTCAAAGATTACGATAAAATTCCACTGAGTCCTGAGTTTTACATTAATGTTACCACTTCTTGTGACAGGTATATACAGAGTAGGGGATTTATAACGGAAGTGACGCAGGAAGAATGGGATTTTCCTATAGCGTTTGGAATTTTGGGGCACGAAGAAATCGAGTTGTTGGAAAGACTTTTAAGAGCTATTTATCGACCGAGTAACTTCTACTTTATACACGTTGATGCCAAAGCTCCCAAATCTCTACTGAAAGCTGTGTCTGATATAACGAATTGTTTTGATAATGTACATGTCACTTCCCGTTTAGTGACAGTGAAATGGGGAAAATATTCTGTGTTTCAAGCAGATTTAAATTGCATGGACGATGCATTGAAATTCGACTGGGAATACTTCATCAATCTAGCCGGTTCTGATTTTCCGTTGAAGACGAATTTAGAAATGGTTACTATATTGAAAGCATTTAACGGTGCTAGCTCAATTACAGGTGGTCCTTTCAGGTATTGTAACTATTTACTAGACTTTCAACCATCTCCAACTTATTACCTGGTTTTACTTCCTAGTCTCGAAACTATATAAAACTGTCTTTCTGTGACAGTGGAATATCTCAGACTTTAACGAGATGGATTACCGTCTTCTAGGCGTTAGGCGCCACGTGTTCGAATCCTCCTCTATGTAAGAGAATGTATCATACCACAGCGTGTGCTTCCGATGGTCAGCCCGGTGTCAGTGTTCAAAATCTAAATCTCAGCCAGTCTGAGATCTTTAGAACTTAGTTTGAATTCAGTTGAGTAACATGACTGGTTTATAAGCTCAACTGGAAAATTTGTTGTCAGAAAACAGGTTTTTTTTTGCTTTTTGACCTTATTTTTCTTTGCGTTGTTTTTAGACGATATATTTGGAAGGACCGGATGTCGAAAGTAGGTAATATCACTGGATTTACGTTTATGAAAGGCTCGCAGCATATTGTGGCTAACCGGAAGTTCATCGAATTTCTTAGAACTGCACCAGAGGCTTTGGAGTTTGCTGAACGATTGAAAAAGGCTTTACATCCACATGAAACTTTCTACAACTCAATATATTTCAGTAAACATTTAAAAATACCTGGCTCGTACAACGGTAAGTACAATTTATAAAGATTTGCTGTATTTCTGTAAGTTTTGTGTTTTATGACGAATGAGGAGCGGGGCTGGTGGATAATATCGTTCAGTAATCCCTTCGATCGCATAGATAACGAAAATCGAGTAAGTGTTCTTGTGAAAGGTAGCAGATTTTATTTAATTATAATTTAGTCCTCTGGGCAAAAAGGAACCAAAAAGCAAATTTGAAACATGTCGACAGAAGTTTTTCCAAGAGGTATTTGTGTTAATTTTATTGCAGACCTATTATACTGTGCGTACTATATATTATACATAGTTCATCCTTTAATAGACAATAAATTAGTTGAATCTGTGATTGTTTTCCTATTTTCAGGTTCCGCTAAAATGATATCAGAAATCGATGGCATGGCCCGATACAAATTGTGGAATTCGGGAACACAGCCATGTAGTGGTAAATTCGTACACGCCATATGTATATTTGGTATACAAGAGTTGGCATTACTTACCAAGGCACCACATGTGTTTTGTAATAAGTTTCATGAAGACTTCATGCCTATAGTATTAGACTGTTTAGAATCGTGGTTATTTGACAAGATTGAACAAGAAACAAAAACTGGAAAGACTCAAGTTAATACAACTTATTACTCTAATTTAGACTTTGTCAAAAATCAAATAAGATGAAAAAATAACGTTTTGTTTTCATTTTTCAAGTTGTCTGGGTCATGTATGGAGTTAATAAGGAAGTAGACCCAAAGAACATAGATGAACGTATGGCCGAATTGTTTCCATTGTTCTTTGGCAGATGTTGCTATTGTCTTGACAAAGACATGAAATAATTGGAGTTTTACGTCCTATTATTCTACATGCTTTTCTAAGAGCTACAACCTTAAAATTTTCAAGAACGACATCATGAATCCCATCCAATTATATGGCAGCTTTGGGTGATGTGGGAATGGTAATTTTTGTATAGCCGTATTATTTGTATCTCCATTTTGCCATACTTTGGACGGAAGTTTTATTAACAGAATTGTCTTGCTTGTAAGGATTTGCATTCGATGAATTGTTCTCACAGAAAGGCGATGAATTCGTAATTTACGTCCTACTTTCTTGCACTTTATTGAGACCTGTGGTGTGCATTAACAGAATAGTTGCTTAATCGTAAGTCATACAATAAGAACGAGTTTCCGTGTTTAATTGTGCCCTCCAAATGGATGGACGCCTTCTGTATATCATATAATCTTCTCCGTTGTTGCTATAACAAAAACAGGTAAACGATTTCAATATTTTTAAGAGTAGACAAAAGCCTATAATTTTCTCACAGTTAGTTCAATGTTGTAATAGCAGCACCCTAAATTATGTTTTTCACTTCTTAGTATAAATAAACCAAGTATGAACTGCTTGAAACCCAAGTATTAACGATCCGAACCGCAAAACCAACCCAAAATCCACACAAAATATTGGCGAAACCTTTCACATGGGAAGTATATCAATCATGAGTAAGATTCAGTATATCTCCAGTGAACAAGTACCACACCAATGATAAGAAAGGATAATTTCCGTTGAATTATTATAAATCGTATCGTGCTGAAGGGAGCACAGACAAAGTAATGTAAACTAGACAATTTCAGTGTGTATTTAAATTCCATGGGACGATTGACCGATACCCATAAACTTTTTTTTGTAATAGTATCATTTCAATATTTATATCAAAGTCGTAAATATGAGTGGTCAATTGTTTTTGAAAGATTTATAAGTCCACCTACATAAATAGAAAAAAATGACTTAATATCACACTGACGAACACCCATCATTGTTCTTGGAGAAAGAATTCCATGGTTTGTTTTTTTATATTCATCAGTAAAGAGACTTTATCTGGAATATAGTAGTCAGAAACATCAAGAGCTATATTCTAATCAAATTAGCGATAAAGGCCGAGACATTTAGAACTATTTTCTTTGTGATATTCACTTGCCCATGGGCTATAAGTAAAAGGAGATTATAATAAAATATCAAGCTATATAAATTTATCAGGGCTAATGGTGTTTTGAAATGTAACATAAAATATGAAAAGAACAATTGAGGTAATTTATTCTGTTTATTGATAAGGTCGTGAATTAGGTCCGTCCGCCATAATAATCGTTCATGGAGTTCTAATAGTAATAACTGCGACAAATCGTATTTGGCGCTTCGGTAGGTTGCCAAAATATCCTAGGTATGCCACGTCTTATTTAGGTGTCTCAGCAGAAAGATGTCAACCTCTGCCAGATAGAACGCCTGAATAAAATAACCATGAATAGATATATACTTGCACTAGTTCCTTGGGATTACAACCATCTGAGAAAATACTAAAAATTGTGCTAAAGGCTTCAGTAGGAGAACATGTCCTATTTACCTTTTTACCATTATTGGCGAAAATCGTCTCGGCAGAAATAGAATTTGTAGACCTAATAATCCACCATATTGGGGAGTGACCTAGAACCCAATGATCCGCTGTAAAAAGTACAGAAAGTCAGTACTGTCGAAAACTATGTTAATGAAATGTCGGAGTAATTACTAGTAACTATGTCGACTAATTTAATCATGTTCTTCTCACAGACTAACAATATCACGAAATGACAAACAGTGTCTTTGAATATTGTTTAGTCATAGATCAAAGATATTTTAACACATCCGAATATTATTCAAAACCCAAACACCAGCAGTCCGCATAATTGTGGGGTTGAATAAAAAGCGATTCAAGCTATGCAGACTGTTATGTCGATTAGTCTTTCAACTGGTCGTTTGCCAAAAAATTAAATGGACTCGGTTTTTAAACGTCCCCGAATGTGCACTTTGTCCATGTCATTATTTGTGTAAAACAACACGGCACGTCAATCAGTAAACATTTTGACGTCTGATGTTTAATCATTTTATATTACTTTAATATATCGTTAAACGAAAATAAACAGTTCATATAGAGTTAATCCCCTTTTGCCACTGGCTAGCAATATATCGAAGAGCAGAGGCTTTCACAAATACCGAGAGAAGTGGCAAAGCGACGCATTTATTCAGAGAAAAAATCGCTATTTTCGGGGGTTGATTGGTAGGAAACTTGAATTTATTTATTCATCATTACTAGAACTGTACGAAAATCGCATAAACCATTCTAATATACCTCTTTTCTGTATATGTAGCCGAGTCCCTTTTTAGCCCCTTTTGTAGGGTACGATTGATTAGTCGAACAGATGGTTAATTGATAGATGACAGGACAACGTTCTTTTCCAGCGGATGCTGATATCGTTGTTTGCCTGTATACGTACGATTGTCCGTCTTCATTATCCGATTATTAAATCACAGTCGAGAAGTCAGACAATATTTACAGAGAGTTTCGATTGATTCCCATTTCTAAAAGAACAATTCTAATTGTTTCCCTAATCGTAAATTTTATATCAAAATAATGTTGATGATAAACCCTGAACCCATTTCAGACTAGCTGCCTCTAAAACAAGCGGATAACTCAAATTACACGTCTATCTTAGCAATTCATTGATAAAGTCTTAATGATCATGAAGGAAGAGCTCCACTGGGAATGGCCATGTTCTATGATGATAAACTGGCAATATTCTTAAAGGATCATTACCTTTATATACAATAAAATTATAATGAAACCGATACATCTGTCGTCCAGTTATTCGGATGGGACAATAAACCGAGGCTCCGTGTGCTGCTGTGCAAGTTGAAGAACAGTTGGAAATCGAAAAAGAGTTAAGTTAATGCCACTGTCCTGTCAAACCTCCCTCACTGGCATGGCTTGTATTCATTGCCCAATTAGGTATATACGAGCAGAACGAAGCCTTTCATTTTTTGACCCACCTCCTGTTTTAGTCATTTGCTTTCCAAATATTCTAATAATGAAAGGTGAGTTCAGTCATATTGCTAATAAAATCACAATAAAATGAAACCCAAAGTCGAATGCCACTGGCAAAAATGAGAAAAAACAAGTTAACAAAAGTAGATTAAAGGGCCCAACAATAAATTGGGTTGAGAGTCACTGGGCAACGTAATGAAAAAAAACACGATAGAATAAAAAAAATTGGCCATTTGATTCCTTTGTAGGATTATTAAATTAGGAATCACTGTGTCCCGATTTGACCCTTGACCTCCTGTGAGTTTGCTCGACCTTCGGATATGTGTACTAATAGAAGCATCAGACCTATCTTTAATTAAGGTTTAATAAAAGCAAAAATGTTCGATGTCGCTTGCAAATGGGGGTTGTGAATCGACATCGTTTAGCCCCTAAAGTTAATAATGCAGCTTTGCTATATTTTGCTACATTGTAGTCTTCTCCCTGGCGTCACTGTTACGAATGTCTTTATAATAAACTGATTATAACAATGATATATAGAACCCGATATCAATTACCCTTTTGATAATGATCGCAATAAAACTCGGCAATTATAGGAGAAGCCGTTTCTAACGTGACGACTTGTTCATAGAATCGTCGTGAAGGATATATCATCAGTACGGTAAGCTAGAGATACTTTCTCATTCATTTCCGAACTAGAATTTATTCTTTCATTTATATTTATTTATAAAATTGTTAACTTATGTAAAAAATTATTGGTTTACAATTGATTTATTTTATAGTGAATATATTTTATTATTGCAACTAACTTTTTGAATCTTAGGTTTATATTTAAAATATATAACGGCAAGTTTTATAAATCTATTAAAGTTTTAACGACGGAGCAAAAATATCCTTCATGAAATTAATGGATTCATGAAAAACAATGGGTACAGAAGTTCATATGAAATTTGGCTCCAATGACGATGTTTCTGTACGTCCTATTAGAATTTTAAAGTCCATTCGTTTATGAAAATATGAGTTATGTGAGTTCTCTGAAAACAATGCCAAGTTGGAAAATGGTGAAATAGTGAGCAACACGGTAAACTCTACGTTAAATTCTTCCTGGTTCGCCAGGAGTTCTTGATCAAATTAGGCCATAAACAACGAATAACACAATGATCGTCTTATTTGCAGGCTGTTTAAAATGTTAAAGGGACAGCTGCGCCATTTTTTTTACCAATGATACTTGGGTGTCAGAAACGGGATTTTTTTTAGATAAGTTAATCAGTAATAGTGTTTATATCTCACCCTCGAAGCTTGGGCCTTCAAATCCACGTGTGTTCAGAATTATCCGCGATTGAATGGTCAACTAAGATACTCTGTGATAGAAAAGACATATAGAAATAGTGAGTAAAATTCCTAGTATTTGTAAAGGCATTATGCGATTTTCATACATTTCTAGTACTTCTGAAACCTATTTACAAATATTCAAATCTAAAATCAACCACCCGTAAATGGTGCAGTTGTCCTTTTCAAGTTAAAAAGTATTAAAGTCTTGTACTTCTTGTTTGTAGTAAGACGCATGACGCTATGCACTGTGCATAAAAATTGCTAAATATATAAATTGATCTAAAATTGAGTTTAAATGTGACAGATAAAATAAGTCGAGTTTAAAAAAAAAATGAAGTTAGATAATTGCTTATAATTGGTATCTGGAATATATCTCTTTCCTACTACCAGATTCGGCAGCCAATATGCCGACAACTGA